TTTGGGTACGGTTGCAATGTTATCAAAAAGCTTTTGGTGTTATTCCTTCCGGTATCTTGGCGATTTAAAAACTTAATCACACAACACGCTTTAGGGTTTGATGCCTTTTGCCAACTCTATCAGAAATGAGAAGTTAACGGCAAACTGTTGGTATGCATATACGAAACTTACCATGACAAAACCGTTTGGTACCATGTGTTTGTTTTTTTGTAGAGTATGGCTGAGGTGTTTTGTATTTAAGTGACCCGCAAATGTATTATACGAGAGTACACTTCGAAACAATCGATCTTTCGAAAATATCTTTCGGTGGCATTTACGCGAGGTTGAATGATAAATTCAGAGGTTTGGACGAACGTGTTGTGTAATAGACAGAAAGGTTCACGGTTGTCGACAAATAGACATGTCGATGAACAGAAATATTTTCACCAACGGACACTTGTGTCGACAACCCAAAAGCTGGCGAACAGGGACATTCGCCGTAGCTCGACAAACATAATGCCAGTGGTGCAATTATGTGTCGACAGGTTTTGGATATATTATGTTGAACACCTGTGTCGACAAAATAATGATAAAGTCCAACAGTTAACAGTGTTGTAGTCGAGACCGGATAGTCCGAGACCGAGACCAAGACCGAGACCTGAAGCTGCGAGACCGAGACCGAGACCGAGACCAGCCCCTTCAAGGCGGACCGAGACCGAGACCGAAACGGTCCGAGACCGAGACCGAGACCGAGACCGAGACCGCGGATAATAAATAATAATCTAAATAAACAACAAGACACTAATTACAGCTGAACAGTCTGTCCTTTAGATGTTGATGTTCATGGGGATGTGAAGGAAGTGATTGAAAGTTAGGAATCACTTGTACCTGCTTAATTGTGTCATGCGAGTGCTCTTCGTGTTTGCTTCATGCCATAAATTACAACATGGCAACAGAATTTGTTATTGTCACAATCAATTAAAAAAATATTGTTTAACTACTATAAAGTGTAAATCTGATGAAGAGACTCTAACTTAGGAGTACGACAATTTGTACTAGTTTTTGCAAAACTTTAACATGTTGAAACTCGACAAAAGTAAAAAGTTAAAGGTGTATGTTTCATCTGTTATAGGAACTCGGACCCTAAACTCCAGAGCCAGCCCTTGGTTTCAGCAATGACCACTAACGGATATTTAAATGCAACTTTAATTTTACATTGGACCTCCTTGTAAACTTGATTCAAAAACAATTTGGAGCAAGAAAATATTGATTTATTTTTACCCCTCAGCCGAGAGGCTCGAGGGGTATTGTCATCGCCTAGGGCGTCCGTCCGTCCGTATGTCTGTTCTGACCATACCACCCTTGTGGGGTGATGTTCCTTTCAGGACACATCACCCCACTATTTTCACAATAGAAAAACATCACCCCAGAAGAGAATCTTTAGAAAAAGGGATAATGGGAACACAATGCCATCACCCCACAATTCCGTCTGGCTGGAACGGCTGTGTGTGTGTCCGTCCGTCCGTCCGTCCGGGCAGCTTAGTTTCCGGATGATAACTTGAGTTAGAAATGTTGTTTGGGGTCGTAACTTCGGTAGGGGGTTGCCCTTGGGAGTAGGCAAGTTGGGATTGGTTTTGAGGTCAAAAGGTCAAATGTCAAGGTCACCGTGGTGAGTTAAAGGTAAATGGTTTCCGGATGATAACTTGAGTTAGAAATGAGATTTTGGTGTCTAACTTTGGTAGAGGGTTGCCCTTGGGTACAGGCAAGTTGGGATAGGTTTTGGGGTCAAAGGGTCAAAGGTCAAGGTCACCATGGTGAGTTAAAGGTAAATGGTTTCCGGATGATAACTTGAGTTAGAAAGGAGATTTTGATGTCTAACTTTGGTAGGGGGTTGCCCTTGGGAGTAGGCAAGTTGGGATGGTTTTGGGGTCAAAAGGTCAAAGGTCAAGGTCACCGTGGTGAGTTAAAGGTTAAAATGTTTGTTTCTTGTTCCTCTGTCATTTACCTCTGAAGAAGGCCTGGCTAAGGCTGAAATGTAATGCCACTTTATTTTTGTTTAATGTCAATAACGTTACATATACTATAGAAGATCGATGAACCATATTTGCCTGATCTATATTCTGTTCATCTGCCCGCCGTCATCATCGTCATAAGCCTTTTAGAGAATATGGCCGACACAATAGAAGGGCGCTGTAACAAACTGAATGTGGTGGGCGAGATGCACTTTTAGGACGCATGGCTCAGTGCGCACGCCTCTCTGGCTACTTTGCCGGGCAATTTACTTGAGTATTTTAGTGACAAGTACGACATTGCCAATATTCTAATCGCTTATTGTGATGGCCGTAAACAGCATATAGCGATTAATGAAACAAAAGTCTTCTCGACTCATGCAAACGCAATTGACATTTAGGAAGGAGATGAGGCAGGCAATAAGACTCTATTTTTGTGTGACCATGGCAGTAGCTCAATTTTTGTTTATCACAGATGAAAAGATGAATACATGGCGAGTTAAAAAGAAAGTGACCGTATGTAAAAAAAAATGGCACGCTCCATTTTGTAAAAAATATAATTGGGATAAAGAACATGTTATTGAGTAGTAACTGTGAACATTTCACGTAATTTGCGTACTATTCCCAAGTCGTGACTAGTTTAATAAAGAGATCACAAAATTCAGCTGTCCACCACTAATACCAAATTAACGGTCTACGAATTGATGAATATCAATTAATAAATATAATTTAAAAAAACGTTTTCCCGCCTCCACGAATAAAGGACAAATTGAAAAGGAAAATCGAAAAACAAAATCACAAATATTTCTAGGGAAAAAGAGTTGAATTGTTCCCCATATTCAAAATACAAAATCTGACGGTAAAAATAATGTTTCAGTTTTGATTCATAAGATTTAAATCATGTATTTGGAATCAATGAGGATGGCTATAAAGTGCTTGTTTCAACATATCATTCCACAGTAAAAACGAGAAATAAGAAGAGGAGCAATGGTTATTGGACTATGCCTCACTCACTAGAAAAAGAAGAGAGACATGTCCATTAGCATCACACTGCAGTCACATTTGCCCTAAACTGATTCTTTACTTAACCCTAAAAGGGCCGGGGCTGAATCCGCCCCCCCTCACTTTTTGGCTGGTCTCGACTCGAGACCAGCCAAAATATCGAGACCAAAGGGGACCGAGACCGAGACCAAGACCGAGACCACAGCTTCCGAGACCGAGACCGAGACCGAGACCGGCAAAAAGTGGTCTCGAGACCGAGACCGAGACCGAGACCGGTCTCGAGACCTACAACACTGACAGTTAAGTTTCTGGTTTGATATTGTCAAATTAAGTAACTTAGATCACCAGGCCACCACTGCACTTAATGTATTTAAACCTTTACCATCAAAAACATGTTACAGATGATACGTTGTATTAGTGGTGTGTATTGTTAAATTCAAAACAAAAACCTCAAAATAAAGGAACATTCCTTGACAAATACTTGGGTGTGTCAGACCTGTTTTTCTGATAACACATGTCATTGTAATAGCTTGCTCGTTGTGTTGTTTTATATGTTGACGTGTGTTTTGTGTTTCTATTTAATTGGCAAAGGATCCAGTTAATGTAAAGAGTGTTTTTCCCGTTGTCAATCCAAAACACACAATAACGGACGGTGGATCAACTTTGCGCGTAACATTCTGTCTCGCCTGTCTTTCTCACCAATTGTTTTTGGCCAAACTTTTACTGGAAAAAGAAATGAAATGTTCAAAGATTACATCGGGAAAAAAATTACAAAATATTTATTTTAATTATTCTTTTAAAAATAATTTTGCACCAGCTTGAACTTTGTAGCTTTGGGGCAAAACAGTCTAAGAAACGTCACGATAATTACAGAGGAAGGTCAAAAAAAGTTCAAGAAGATGTGATTTCGCAACCTCGACCCCAGGGTGTCGAGCAGTACGCGCCCATCACTACCTGCTCACAAGCTACCTGCATCATGTGCAAGATTTTTGAACACGTATGCAAATGAGGAATAGTCTGGTGCCTGCATGTGCGTTACATTGTCGTTTGTTTTTGTATGCGGTGTCTGGGGTAAAAACTGAGTCAGATCGTCGCATCGCGAACACAGCGGGAGTTACGAAAACACGATTTATTTAATTAAACTGTTACGATCTTATCGAGACAACATACAGTATCACATTTCATATTAATATGAACAAGTTGAAAAGGAAATGAGTATTTTCGAGAAGGTGTGGACGATGATCGCGAAAACACGTACTGCACGTTGTGAATAACAACACCAAGTACACGATAAAAATCCATTACTAGCCAATTGCGATATCGAATCATGATACAGGAAGAAATATTCCTATCCAGGGATTACTATTAGAAACAAGCAGTGGCGTAGCCAGGAATTTTTCATTGGGGGGGGGGGGGGCCGCTGGGGGGGGGGGCTGGAACATTTCATGGGGGGGGGCGTCATGTAGATTAATGATAATTTTTTAGAAACTCAAAATCTCAGGGGGGGGGGGCTGGAACATTTCATGGGGGGCGTCATGTAGATTAATGATACTTTTTTTAGAAACTCAAAATCTCAGTGGGGGGGGGAGGCGGCGACTGGGGGGGGGGGCGACAAGGTTTCATGGGGAGGCTGTCGCCCCCCCCCCCCACCCCCCCCCCCCCCCCCCCCCCCCCCCGTGGCTACGCCACTGGTAGGCGCCGGATTTTATAGGAGCCCAAATTTCATGTGACACTGGAAAGTGTTTAAGACCAGCCAGCCAAGTCATTATCAACCATTGATCTCCATTAGTCTTACTAATGGAGATCAATGATATCAACCGTTTAAAACCGGCCACGTGACGGGCTCTCGACCAATATAGGAATGGGTAAACTGTCTTAGGTATTTATGAATACATGATACAAAAGACATGGCTCCTGAGGGGCCAACAGTGTGGCCCCTGTTGCATACCTTCCGTCCCCCGGATCCGTCAGTGTCTAAATCACGGGCGTATTCATCAAAATGTATCTCACCTCGCTTGGTTCGATGACTGCAACCTGTCCCTTGCCGTGTTTGCGAGACAGACTACTGGCCATAGCCAGACCACCAGACCCACCGCCGACCACCACAAACTTGTACATGCTGGGTGATGGTGTACTGCCCTCTGTAGATGCAAGTCTTCCGTGACAACTCGAAGTTAATGGAGCCATATGACGGGACAGTATCCATGACAACTTCAGATGAGCCACTCTGGAGCCAGCTCGGCACAGATTAAGAGTCATGGTAATGTCACTCTGGAGATTAAAGCCGTAACACGTTATCGTTAAACTCTGCCTTATACCGTATTCATATATTCATAAAACTGAGACAGATATTATGTCTGACGATTTCATTCATGTAAACGGTTCCTTTACTTTTTGTTTTCCGTTTTACAGAAGTATTGAATACATTTGGACTGTCGAAAAGCTGCAATCGGCATTTTTGGTTTCTCACCACAAAATTCTGGAGTGGGGATCCAAAGGCCCATCCCACGGTTCAAAACGTGGGGGGGGGGATATATCCCCCACCCCAGATTTACGCCCATGATCACTTGGTTAGGCAACTTTCAAATTATTTTGTTCATTAATTGTTACTAGAAAAAAAACACTCTGTGAGATACCTGCAACGCATGTACAAGAGTGTTAAGGACCTCCGAGCCATTACAGTTTATAGTATCATGTAGAATTGACAAGTAGGCCTACAATTGAAATTCTGAGCATTATTTCACCGATACTTTTCGAAATTCAAATGCCTTTCCCAAAAGTAAACTCTTACAAGTGACGACAATTCGTCGATCACAACTTTCTGAAATCATGGCATGACTTTTTCTGGTCTTAGTTCAAGTCTTTGTAAGTAAAACTAAGTGAAAATGAGACAGAAAATATAATGGGTATGCATTCAATTGTAAAGGCATGAAAACACTGTAGCCTAGGATTAGGCATTGTGTACATGTAACCTGGTCCGAACATTGGGGACTCTCAATACTGTGTATGACTTTGAGAGTCCCAAAAACATATTGAAAACATGCAATACATGAAAATATACTGGTACCTGAAACAACCGGTCTATCAACCCTTCAGTATCAATTAATGCATCAATATGCCAAAGGAAACATCTGGCATGTCTGTTACTGGTATCTATTTCTACACATTTCTCCATGACAATTATGTATGAAGAGTCAGTGTTTTCAAACAGTTCAGTTCAGTTCAGTTCACATTTATTTCCATTCCACACAGCACAATTGAAATATACAAGAAATAACAATATAATTATAAGGAAATATACAATTGCCGGCACATACATGGAGGCATATTCTGTATGCCGAAGCTTGTATGGAGATGCCTTTAAATAATGACTGATTAAGAAATACTGTGAAATGATGAGACATATACAAATCAGACAGACAGACAAACAAACACACAAACGTACACACGCACACACAACAGACAAACAGTTATAAAGGAAGACCAAATTGACGGATGAGACAAAACAAACTGATTACATGGACATGGCATTAAACACATACGTAATCTGGTAGGAAACAGTGTACATATTGCTGACGAAATTAAACAAATTATAGTAAACAAGAATGATTTTCTTTCTTTCTTTAGAACTGGCCATAAATCTAAATCTAAATCAACTTACAGTTGGGCCATGGTTGGACATGATACCAGACTGGTCTTTGGCCTCAAATTGATATCACTTGACTTCCCTCTCAGGTGCAAATTATTGAAGAAAAGTCTCCTTTAAAAATTGAATTAAGACTTTAAACTTGGTTGGTGAAATACCAAGGACCGATCTTTGCCTCATGAAAATTTTGGAGAATTTTGTCAGCCAAATAGTGAGTATAAAGTTGGCCTGATTTCGTTTTGCATGTTTTCAGCACTCAAGGTCCCGGTTTGCATGTAACCCATAACTAACACATTTTTGATTGTGTTTTACATACACAACCTAGCTTCCTGACATCGTCAGTCTTGAGAACTTGTGCCTTGTGTCTATTCTGCAGAAAGTGGCTGATTGTTACCAGTAGGAAATTCTCATTGGGTCCCATTGAATGGGACCCAATGGGATCCCATCCAATTTTTCAAATTTTGTTCAGTGTTATTTGTTTGTTACAAGGAATGGCAAATATAAAAGACTAAAAGACCCAATGCATCTTTATGTTTATGATCGGTAGATGGCAAGTTTGGGGCTCGGCAAGGATTTATCTGTCTACTGAGTTTTTATGTAGAAAAACTTGCAGAGGGTAAAACGTAAATAGCTTTTTTATTAAAACGAAACTACACTGGAATTGGCGTAATGAATGACTGGTTTCAATGAAAGCCCGTCCCACTCCTGTTAGGTTGGGGATGTGTGTGTGAACCTTGCTATTTGTTGTTGTGTACAGAATGCTAGCAAGGTCAATGAGACTTTAAATGAAAAGAAAAACCTTCAGGGGAAACGTATGAACTTTTGCCCCTATTGAATGATCGAATGAAAAAAATCCTGGCAAGCATAATCAACTTTGCCACCAAATTGTCATGGCCGAGGTTATTGCTTTCGGGTCAAACTTCCATAATGGCGAAAATATCATAGACATGTCATGATTTTAGATACCTTGAGAGAAATATCGATTCTGCAGTGCCTGAAGATTTAGAAAATACCTCCTCTTGATATTTTACAGTGTTCGTACACGACTTTCGAAGCGCCGCGCTTAGCCGCAGCAAAACTAGAAACGATTGAAACGAATCGTGGCGCAATTTCATCGTCGTTAACACTGCTGGCTGGAACACATTTTTGCCCGGGAGTAGGGGGTGCTGAAGTATATTCCAGCACCCCAATCCAAAAAGTTTGGGGTGCTGCAGCACCCACAGCACCCCCCGTTCCCGCGGGCTTGATTGGGTCCCATTGCGATTTCCGTTTCAACGGGATTGGGTCCCATTGCAATGGGATCTCATTGCCTATGTCCTAAATTCCTACTTTGGGTCCCATTGCAATAGGATCCCATTGGGTTTCATTTTAACGGGACCCAATAGGATCCCATTGCCGATGTCCCGTTTCACATTGGCAGTGGAATCCCATTGGGTCCCATTGCAATGGGATAGTCCCATTAACTCAAAGTAATTAAATTCCCCAAAATTATTTCACCCAAATGATTTTAATAAACTATACTTACTTCATTCACGATCGAAGTCACCTCGGCAAAACGGGGTAAAGCATACGGCCGCTACTGCTGACTGCTAAACATTTGTCAGAGTGTGCTTTATTGACATCAAATCCTAGGTCATATTTGCTTGGGTGATTTCGCATAATGGCCAGTTTGACAATGAGCGAATTTGGTTCGCCCGTCTGCAAAGTCCCTTTTGTCAGAGGGCAGCCGTTCGGTGTAGCGCTGAGATAGGTTGGGTTAACGTTAACCTTCTGCGAGTTCATTGAGAAAGTGTTTAGAATTGTGTTTACTCGCTAAACATATTTTGGAAGGCCAGGCAATTATATTGTCCACACGTACAGAGGCTATTAGGCTATAACTTTGGCCCTACTCCTAAAATTGAAAGCTCGGTCCCTTGGTCAATTTGACCTCTCTTGGAAAATAACTCATAACTCTAGCAAAAACTATTAGATTTGGACGTTTGATGTCTCATTCTTAAGTGGAAAGGCGTATCTTTCAAACTATATTATCTATAACTATAATACGGGTGATAATGGAAATGGGATAGGGGGAGGAATAAAAGCCCTTGGCTTCTCCTGACCCCCTGTGCTGACGCTTCTGTAGGTCATTCTTAAAATAAGTTAATCCACATTTAATTTGTGACTTGTTTTCCCTTGCACATTAATTTTACTACTTATAATGTATACATCCAATGTTAATGTCAGCATGAATAAAACAATATAAAAACGTCTGACATTCCGTTGTGTTTTGTTTGCATTTTTTTTTATACACACTGTACAGAATTAAAATAACACTGAATCAGTTGCGAAACTGAGGGGGGGGGGGCGTCAGTCATTCGGATCGGAGAGCAAGAGGTCACAAACAGAGCTAAGTCAACATATACTGGGCTTAAAGGACGAGGGGAAGGACTATGAAATTAAATGGGACGGACTATGAAATTAAATGGGACATTGTTCAGAAAGAACTGCCATACTCTAACGTAAACAAGAGAAGTAATTTGTGTATAGCAGAGAAGTACATAATCACATGCAGGCCAGATCTAGGTACACTAAATAAGAGAAGCGAAATTGTCTCTAAGTGCAGGCTTCGAGACAGGTTCTTAGTTCAACTTCGTCCCCAGGGTGTCGAGCAGTACGCGCTCACCACTACCTGCTCTCTCACCCTCTTATTGGATCATTTGCATGTGCAAATTTTTTGCACATGTATCAAAATAATGAAGAATAGTCTGGTGCCTGCCTGGACGTTACATTAGCGTTTGTTTTTTGTGTGCGGTGTCTGGGGTAAAAACACAATCAATTCGTCGCGCCGTGAGCTATTTTTTTTTACGAAAACACGATTGTGGCGAAGTTAAAATGTTACAATCTTATCCCGCCAATATGCAATATCACATTTCATATTGAGCAAATTAGAAAGGAAAAGAGAATTTTTGAGAAGGCGTGGACGTTATAATTACAATGATCGTGAGAACACGTAATGCACGTTGGAAATAACAACACCATCTACACGATATAAATCCATTACTCCAATTGCGATATCGAATCAGGATACAGGAGAAAAGTGTTCTTTCCAGGGCTTACTATTGGAAACGAGGTTGGAAATAAAGTAAGCACTGGGGACGAGGTTGGGGAAGATGCTACTTGTATTGTATATTCTATGTCATTCTGCTGATGAGTGCCTGTACCGTACGGTACGAAACAGTCTGTCCAGAAAAGAAATATGCCAAAGTTTGCTTCAAGGGACACTGGGTCCTGGAACAGCCCAATTGGGCTACAAAATGCGCTTTGAACAAAATGATGTTGATCGGAAAGATCAAACATTCACACGCTTATCCTCAGTAAAAACTGGGTGTTTTTGTGTTATTCCTGTATTATGCGTGCGTGAACGAATTTCGGGGTCCACTTTTGCGACCCCCAAAAGTCGAGCTGTTTGGGTGCTAGTCGTGATTTCATTCGTAAAGTGTTCGCCTTTTGCGGACGTCGAGGGGGAAAAAATGTATGCCTTGGTGATTGGTCACCGCTGATCCCGAGACACACGTGTATATTGTACAAACAGGGAATGAAAGGAAAAACGTATTCGTGCTCCGTTGTGTCCGATGTAAACAACTGATTGTTTTTTCGTCTTTTCTCGGGAACGGTAAGACATTAGGTTGGTTTTCTTTCAACCAAATGTTTAAAATAGGATTAGTAAACAATCCAAAACATGAAATTTTCGGGGATTTCAGGACCTAGTGCCCCTTTAACTCATATCCTGAATTTGTTGCATAATTATAGCTCTACAGAGATGTATAGAGCACTGTGAATTGTGATAGAAGACGATTTCATTGGAGATTTTTCTTGAGGGGGGCACTTGGGAGAGGGCACTGTGAATTGGGGGGTGCGCCCCCCCCCCCTCGAAAAAGGGCCCTCCCCAGGTAGTCTGAGTATCACCCGCTATCCACGGAGCCAAGTCTCCTGTATAACGTCTGATATGTCAAAGCATGCAGAATTATCTGCTTCGCGCCTCAGCCAATTGGAGTCGACTGTACTAAATCGTGACGTCATTTCATTCCCAAATCAGGACTAAACGAGTGATTGGTCAATTCAAATGCAGTGTTTTGTAAAACAACAACAGTCGGGCGCGTATCGCGTAACATAATACAGAGCGCGTGACAACAGCCTTAGGGTATTTTTTATCCATGTCGATGATGCGACAACGGTGAATGACCGAAGGCCCGATGTTGAAAGTGTGCCCCCCCCCCCCCACACACACACCCGAAAACAGAAATTACAAAGAAAATTGCTGCTTGTCAAAGAAAATGTTTTTTTTTAGTATTTATTTGAGTTCATAAAACCGAAGAGGAATCTAGATGACTATTTTTTTTTTACTTCCCTTCATTTAACCGTACGGCTTTATCAAATGTGAATAAATTGATAAGAAGAGCACCCTCTAGCGTCAAAAGAGGTTCAGTCCCGCCCCCTTTTTTATGTATTTGTTTACTTTTTCTGAAAACAAAGAGGAATCTGGATGACTATTTTTGACTTCCCTTAACCGAACGACTTTATGAAATGTGAATAAATGATAAGAGCGTGATCTAACGTCAAAAGAGGTTCAGGTCCCCACCCCACTTAATCGTACGGCTTAATGAAATGTGAATAAATTGATAAGAAAGAAGAGCGCCCACTAGCATCAACAGAGGTTTCAGCGCCCCCCCCCCCTTTATGTATTTGTTTACTTTTTCGATTTTTTTTCTTCTTCGTTTGATGTCTCATTCAGAGGTGATAACGTTTGTATTGCTAGAAAATAGCGAGGGAAAACATTTTTACAGTTAAAGACATCCTGTATGTTAAGTCCACACAACCTACTGCAGGGTTTGAAAGGGAAAAAATACAATACTTAATACTTATGGCTATGAATGCCTATTATCCACCTCTTAAGAGAACCCTGAACATAATGAAAACTAGTCAGCAAGTCAGGTTTAATTCGAACATTCGACAGAACATCAACTTCATTGTTTTTAATCCATAGAGACCATATACATTCTCTTAACTAACAATTTACTTCCAAACTCTTGATCAACAATTTAAATCACCACAAGCAAACAAAAGGCCCCTCGATTTTAACAGTTAAAAACCTATATAAGTGACGGGATTAATGTTTGTTTCCTTAAAAGAAAAATTAAATCTGATACGCCAATGTCGCATGCATTACCATGAGCATGTTCTTCCACTCAACTGATTTTGTTTTTACTGAAATTGATCCTATATCTATGCAGACGTTATGTATATGTTTTAGTAAAATATTCCATTTTTACAGCTATCTATAAAGGAATGCTCAAATGCTTTGAAGCTAAGCTAGCAACAGAGTAATACACACAGGCATTCAAATTAAAATGAGATTGAGAATCAGGAAATGAAAAGAAAAAAAATCGAACACAAAATGGAAAAAAAAATCCCACCCCTTTTGAAGCCTGTAATTTCTCTGATTTTAAATTCAAAACAGAACGTAATGCCATGCTATAACCCTCAACCCCAGGGCACTGATACTCCCTGAACTGCGTCTCGTGTTTCAAAAGGAGAAACCATGATGAAATATTGTCCCAATATCCCCTCCAAATGCAAAAAAAAATTATAGTTAACCCTCACTATTTCCCCACAGTACTTGCTGGGTTCACAAAGTAATGCACAATTCCTATGAATACAGAATAAAAGTGCACGGACGTCAATGTAACTGGAATCCACGAGAAAGAAAATTATAATTTAAGAAATACAATGTATCTAAATAATGTCATAAGAGGCTCATAATCCTTTTTTCTATACCACGGTATTTAAATTATTAAGGGATGAAGTTATTTGAAGAATTTTAGCATCCCCCCATTATATCGTCACCGTCACCACAAACTGACACGCGCGTGAGTGCGCTGCACGCGCGCGTATTTACAGAACCGGGATATTTTGGGTTTCACGAACTGACATCCTCCACAGTGCGGCACCTTTAGAGCGCACCCCGTACATGATGCGCCAATACAGAACGGAGAAAAACGGCTTGAAATGTTTGACACGAATTAAATCTATCCGTGTACTTGTGTGATGCTACAAATTTTTAATTAAAAAGCGTTTCAATTGGTAAAATTAAGATCAGCGTCAGTTCGTGAAACCGAAAATGCACGGGGTGCGCTCTTATCTAAAAGTGCCGCACTGTGGAGGATGTCAGAAACCCAAACTATCCCGGTTCTGTAAATACGTACGCGTGCAGCGCACTCACGCGCGCGTGAGTGTCAGCTCATGGTGACGGTGACGATTATATAATAATTAACACTATGGTCTGGGGGGTGTAAGCTACCTCATTTCCCTACCCTTGGATCCCTTGTATATAAAAGGCTTACGCTATTTGCAAATACGACTCACAACACTGAAAAAGTCATGCTGACACCTTTCCGGTTAGAACTGACACTGTGCGGAGTCATTTTACGACTCATTTTGATCCAATAACCTTCTGGCAAAAGTGTAATTTGGACCCGGAAAAGTGTCAAATCTGACCTGGATTCCGGATCAAATTATGACCCGCGACTGTAGACACGTCAATTCTCGTCAGCGCGGATGGCAAGTTTTTGGTTGTTAGTGAAGGCAAAATCAATTTTACATTATATCTATATCATATATACCTCACAACAAATGATAATACACCAAAGCAGTCATCGTGCCTCATTGTGTATTTGAAGAGTACAATTTCAAAAAGCCACGGGGTTCCCCGCAATGCAATCATCGGTGCACACATTGTACCAAACGAAGGCAAAAGCATATTTCTTTCCGGCTGCACAATCGATCTTAATACCACACCAATACAAACGTCACATAAGCACAAAATGATTGGTTCAAAAAAAAAATACTAAAGCAAACGCTGTTATAAAAAAAAATCGGTGCACAGTTGTAAATATCATTCTAAAAATACTAATGCATACGTAATATCTTTTCACATTCACTATGTTACGATTGACAATATGGAAACGTTGTACATTGTGTTTTATACCTTTAAGTCGTAGCCTACTGTTTAAAAATCTGAAATAATTACATTCAGCACAATATTTACATTTACTTTTGGTTTATCATGGTTCGATATTCCGTTTTAGTTGCACATGCGCATTGCAGAAACAATAGGGTTTTGTATGTTCAATTTAAAGGTAGGTCTTTAAACATTTTTGGCATTCTTTTTACTCTAATTCTTTCTGGCAATGAAACCAAAGAGTCTTTATGTGCACAAGCCTGAAGACGGAAGAGAAAGATAAAGAAGAAGATGTTCAGTTTTAGAGGTGGGGACAAAAATAAAAATTATAGTACGAGAATAGGAAGGAAAACCGACGAAATCAGTGCATCATATTTAAAAAAAAATCAACTGCTTGGTGCGTATTGGCAAATGATCAGTGGTGGACAGCTGAACCGTATGAATAGAGTATGCAAATCACGTGACATTGTTGAAGTTCTTTGTTAATAACAGGTACTTTATTCCTATGATATTTTTTATTAAATGGAGCGAGCCACGTCTCTTTTTAATTCAAATGTATATATTTTTTTTAACTCTCGGTCACTTTCTGTATAGCAAAGCTCCTGAAATGAAAATAACCAGAAATCGAACACAAAACAGAAAATAATATCCCACCGCTTTTGAAGCCTGTAATTTCTCTGAGTATAGTTTAAAAACATTACAAAAAATATGCCATACTGTATAAACCTCCACCCAAGGCCACTTGAACTGATACTCCTTGAACTGCGTCTCTTGTTTTACTTGGAGAAACCAAGATGAAATATTTTGCGGTAAACAGCCGGTCCGTGCCAATGTCCCCTGCAAACAAAAATGGTATTTTCAAATTTAACAAATATTAAGAATGCCATAAGCTAGAGGCTAATAATCAGATTTTCATACCGTGACAGCAACAGAAAACATAATCATTGAGTGATGACAATATTTAGGGAACCAGAATTTGTATCCATAATGTAAATAATTAACATTGGTTAGTCGGGAGGTGGGGTGGTAGGCTACCTCAACCATTGCAAAAAGATGTAGTTTTCTTTTCAATTGAAAAATGTTCCGGTTTACAAGAAAAATAAGACGAATCATTCTAAAGGAGTTGTAAACTTACTGTCTCATACCCTTTTTGGTGGGGACTTATTAATTTTTTTAAAAATTGTAAGTCTAATTCTTCATGGATTCTTCAAAAGGGCATGATCTTGAAGAACCCTACAGGAAAAAGACAATAAAGAAACTTATTAGAAAAAATCAACATGTCGGCCTGGGTGGGGTTCGAACCCGCTGGTCATGAAGGTGGGACTAATATTTTGACGACCTGACTCCCCAAGTCTCATCTTCGGAATTGGAGCAATCTCCGGAGAAAAGAAGATTTCATGGGTATTTTTGCAAGTCTACACAGCATGATGCAGCGACACACCAGCTTGAAGTCTGGGTGCCGGGCCGTGTAAATCACAGGGTTGATGCAGCTATTGGCCAAAATCAGTGGGGCCAAAAAGGGGACATATTTCTTGACTCGGTCTTTCAGAACTGCCATGGTTATCAAATAGGGCGTGCAGCACAGCACGAAGAAGAAGACGACGATAAATAAACAGCGGGTGACGTCGGTGCTTCGACGATATGGCGGCCTGTGCTGGTATATATGTCTGCCAGCGGGTCGTGAGGACGGGTTAGCGGTGGAGGGCTCGACTCTAGCTCCATGTCCATCAAGGAGGCGATGTTGAGAAGCCTGGGCTGATGGATGAGGCTGTCCGTGTGCGTCTTCTTGCGCTTCTTGTCTGCCAGCGGCGCGTGAGGACGAATTAGCGGGTGAGTGCTCGACTCTGCGTCCATCCAGGAGGCGATGTTGAGAGGCCTGGGCTGATGGATGAAGCTGCCCGTGTGTGTCGTCTTGTGTTTCTTGCCTCATGATTTCACCGACTATGGCTACGGTACCCTCGGGATGAGGCTGTCCGTGTGCAGCATTTACCCTCCTGGCATACTTCTTTACCTTCAAGATGATGAATGCACTGCTGGCGAACGTTAAAACCAGCTGCACTGGATAGAAGGCGACCATCATGATTTTGCTGAATGTACCAGACCCCGAAGCTGTAGGGTTAAAAGAGCAAGTGCTCATTTTGGCGTCGTATTCGTACGAGCCGAATTCAGATACGATGGGGACAAGTCCTAATGCACAAGGGATAAGCCAGGTTGTAGCGACTATTGTTGCCAGACCGCGCCGGTTGAACAGGGAGACAAAACGGCTCCGGGTTTTTCGGCGAGTGATCAAGGCACGGTAGACGGCTATCATCGCGATGTTGTTCATGCTGCATCCGACGCAAACGATAAGCAAGAACCCCTCAAAGGCACAAAGACTCTCCGATACAAGCAGCTTTTCCCTGTTCTCGCTCAGCAACGCCAGGACCATGATGGGTAAACTCAGACAAGTGAAGAGATCCGCTACCGCCAAGTTGACCACAAACACGTTGGTGATCGTGCGGGGTTTGCGGGACAGGATTACAGCCAGCAAGACGACGCTGTTGCCCGCGACACCGGCGAAAGAGATGAGACTGGTCAAAGCAGCTACGAACTGCTTTTCGCCATAACTGTCGTAGACGGACGCCGCTGAACCATCTTCGCCTGTTGAAGTTGCGTTGTTCGACATCCTTCTATTATGTCGCATGTACTTGGACAGTGCAAGATGTGTCAATGCCCTGAAAATGGTTTGTCAATTCCACGTCTTCAATGGTCGGCGATTTTCATTCTACATGCACTATATTAACACTACTCAGCTATTTAAGCACCAACTATGACGTCAAGAAAGCTTCCACCCTCACACGAAAACTAGTCTTGTTCGAAGACTGGATACAGATTTTAATCAACTAATACAGCCGGTCCCTCTTAAGAGCGGTAAAGCCGCCTGCGGTCGTGTAGGCCACTATCAACAACACGAATCAAATTTTGTCTTGGGAACCTCGGCAGCGCTACCCGGGAAATTCTGAACATACATCCAGTGGCGTAACTACGAGGGAGAGGGAGGCACGGTAGGGGGGGGGGCACGTGCCCCCAGCGTATGTCCGTTCCCCCATCTGAAATCTTGAATTGAACAAAAGTATATATCAGTTGCCTTCATGTGCCCCCCTTGAAAAATGTGTGCACCCCCAGGTGCCCCCTCAGAATGTTAGTCCTTGGTACGCCACTGCATACATCACGCGGGCTGTATTCAAGCTAAAGCACGCGAGGAGGTATGTTTGGAATTTCCTGGGTAGCGCTGCCAAAATTCCCGCGACTTGATTTGATTCATCTTGTAAATAATGTCCTCTCAGCGCGGCTGATTTACAAATCGCGGAAAAACTCGTGACGTCACTCACAGCTTAAATCGGTGCAACCTGCAGGGCCCAATTTCATAGATCTGCTTAAGCAGAAAATTTGCTTAAGCACGAAAAAACATTGCTTAGTAAAATTAGGTTACCGGCCAAAACTCCATGTGATGTACATTGCTTGTGACTGGTATTTAGCTGGTGTTTACTTAGCATAACAATCGCATGGAGTTTTGGCCGCTAACCTGATTTTATTAAGCAAGACCTTTTTGTGCCTAAGCAAATTTTGTGCTTAAGCAGCTCTATGAAATTGCCCCATGTCTGCTGGTTAACGCGCACTGCATGCAACGGCCGAGTGAACACCGTGGTTTCGCTATGGCTGTCGTGAATCCATTTTATTTTCGGCTTGATTCTCCTCTTCAAAGCGAAAATAAGCAATGTGGTTGTACTGTAGCGTGCCGAGGGGGAGGGTGGCGACTATAATCCTCTAAACGATTCCAGAAAACTTACAAACTTAATCAAGAAAATACAAGTTGAAAAATCTTTGATGGAAGCTCCCTTTTGATTTTTTTTTTAATTAATTAGTTTCTAAATACACATTGGGTCACAAAAATACATTCATTTCATTCAGTTTAGCAATTCGCTTTCATAATAAAAAATAATGTGTTTCAATCAGGTAAATTACATGAGCTTCCCAAATTAGAAGAGTGAAGCTCCTAGTTTCTTAATTTTAATTTTAATTTTATAACTATGGTGTGTTGACAATCTGCTGCAAGGCAGTGAACCATTCGCAGGTACTAGTGTGAGAAAATGTTGCATAAAAGTAGGGTGTAATATTGCTGTCTGTGATCGATCGTGTGTGAAATTTGTCATTATAACATGCACGTGAACCATTGTTGAGGAAATGAGCGTGACCGGGGGAGGAGGTCAAAGTGATAATTAGTATTACGCGCACTTCCCAAAATTATTAAAATACTCACAACTCTGATCTTCAAGGTGTTTGAGACACACATCAAATTAAAGCCTATTTCATCATCTTTCATTTTCCGTTAATTTTTTTGGGGGTTATCCAATGACTTTTGGGAGAAATTTTCATCCAACGATGATCACCCCTAAAAGCAGTCCTGACGCTCATCGCCATTTTGAAAACGGACGCCTACGCGCCGTTGCAAAATAGAGCCATTTGGGATGTAATTTCATCCACATTGCACACTAATACGAGCTCGCAGTCCTCTGCACGGCTTCCACCATTCTTGTTTTTTTTTTTTTTTTTTTTTTTTTTTTTTACAAATCCTCAAGTTCACGGCCCTCAAAATGCTCGAATACCGGAGAATTTGAGGGCATGCAAATCGTGATTTGGCCGGCGTAGGCAATTTCGGTCCTATTTACAGGTCTGCGCCCATACTGTCTTATCAGGGACAGTCTGCATAAGGGGAGTCTGGGACCAAGACTACACGAAAATCTGCCACAAAGAATAAGCTATGCCTACTTAAATTGTCGTTGACTGTTATTTTCAAGATTATCTTGCACAGAACGACAACAGAAATCAACTTACGAACCCGAGTGACCCTATGTATTCTTAAACAGTATTTTCAACCAATTGAACAGAGGTGCCTGAGGTCGATAGCGTCAAACACTGACCGGTCATGACATTTTTAAAAAAAAAAGAAGAAAAAAAAGCCATGGGCTCGTTTTGCTTTGAAAATAAAAAATGCCCGTTTCATCGGGACCTGCGTCAATGGCTAACGGCCATCAATTATTAAACACAATACTACGACATAATACTTTTTTTTATATGATTCATGAAAGGGAATTTACTTGGGGTCCCAGATAATTCTGCTACGGATTGGATCATCGCATATATTATTGTGTGTTTTCCTTGTTAAGGGTAGTACTCTGGGGAATAGGTAATTCCTATTTGTCCAAAATCGATCCAAATTCCTGTAATATTAGCGTAGATTGTGTAGACGAATTCTTTTAAGGCATTGTGATCTCTGCGCGCGCAACCCTGCAAAGTTAACCTCTCGCCGGCGGATTTAATATAAAAAAACCAATTGTCCAAAATTACAAGGAGTACAGAAGCGTAGAGGGGTCACAAGCGGGTTTTTTTTTTGGGGGGGGGGGTCCCTCGGTACTGCATACAAGATTTCGTAATTTAGAATCCTTTACACTCCCTTCCAATTACTGTTCTGTTCTTTTGCCGCGGTGGATAAATAACTTTATGACCGAAGCTTACTTCATAAGATTTTTCAGGTGGGAAATGTTTCGAAAACATGTTGGGTCATAATGGAGAGTAGATACCAGTGGGAATTTGTTCACGCTGTTCGTTGCAGACATAATCACTTTATCTACGAACTCCAAATTTAATTAGAAATTAATCACAAAAATTGATTACATTAACTACGAACAAGCTGAAAATATTCAGGTGCCGCGTACTTTGACCGGATTTTTTTCACAGTATTGTGTGCCGTACGCGTACTCAGTATTTGAAATGTGGAGCTTAAGTATACATGATCACGTTACCATGAATTTTAGTCTTTTAGTGGATACTTGATCATTTGGGGGAAAGGAAACAGGAATTTGACTCATAATGCACATTTCCATTATTTTACACAAAAATGACAAGTGTTAAAATCGGTTGTCATGGTACCCCTGGAAATCTTACATAATTTGTTAGTACAGTATTGACCCCCGATTAAAGTTAGGTAAATCTCCAGATCTAAAGCCGTTAAATATAACAGTTAAAATTAGTTATAGTTGTATTATTGTTCCAGTTGTATTATTGTTTCAGTTGTACTTACTTCAGCAGACCGTGCCAATACAAGCTTGGCAAGAGATCGGATGTCAGGTGGTAGGCAGTTCTGCGCTGCTTCCCTTGCTCGATGGGGAATGTCTCGATAGCTTCGAAGTTATAGTCGAACTCGGCCAGTATACAGGATCGACGGGCCGTGACCAGTGGGCACGAGGTGTAGCCATTGTACTACGACATACAAGAGACGACAAATATTCTTCAAATAAACTACAAAAGGAGACTGACGAGGTGCACTGTAATAATTCAATGTTAAACGAAGAAATTGAGTAGAACAGGATTCGAACCGGTGACCTCTGGAGTATTATGTACGATGCCCTACCATTAACTGAGCTATCGGCTTGCTTTTTGTCAGGTTGGCAGCTTTGCTAATGTTACTAACATCGTGACTTTTGGCTTGATGGCTTCTGACCAGCGGTCTTGAACAGAGACGTTGGCGAAGGGCCAAAGCTGCATGGTTTGGTCAAATTAACACTAGCCATGTCCAAATTGCAACTTCTTCGCATACCATCCATATTTGGGCCAAGCAACACTGTGTCTGCTAAACCTGCAATGTCTTGTCCAGGCGCGGTTCTAGAGCCTAAATTTTAGGGGGGCTAGCAGGGGTTGGATCCAGACATTGTTTGCAAGTAGGCGTGCTGAAATGTAGACCGGTTTTTTTTCTCCGGACACTTAGGCCTACGAAAATCAATATGGGGGGGGGGGGGGGGCTCGTCTTGGAAATCGGTACTGTCTTCGTCAACGGGCACTGTCTGACCCAAAGCGGCACTGTCTTTGTCTTAATTCGCACTATCTTGATCACTTTCAAGATATTGTGAATTTGGCACTCTCTCGTCCACTGTTTTTTACCTGTTTTTTTTCTTCCAAAGGCATAGATTTATTCAAACTGGTACTTTCTCGCCCCAAACAGGCACTGTTCAATCCAAACCGGTCAAATATTGTCACTATCTCGTACAATATGACACTCACATCAAACCTGCCCCTGTTTTTGTCAAACCAACACCGTCCAGGCCAAACTGGCATCATCTCGTCCGCCGTCTTTTTTCAAACTGGCAGTGGTTCAATACAAACCAGCACTTTATGGCCCCAAACGGGCACTCTCAAATTCAAACCGGCACTGTCTTCTGGCAATGATGCCTCGGCCAAACCGTTACTGTCTTTGCCATACCGTCTTGACTGGCACTTTCCAGGTCAAAAAAGACACATTTTCAGGTCAATGTGACGTGTCATTTTTGACCCGGAAAAAAATGTCGTTTTTGACCCAGAAAATGGTTAGGCCTATATAGGCCAAATAGAACCCGCATTCTGAGTCAGTCTGACCAGGGACTTTTGAGAGTGTAAATCGGTACTGCCTTCGTAAATCCGACACTGTCATGGCCTAACCCTTTACTTAATACCTACAGAAATCTAGAACAAAACGTAAAATATGTAAGATTTCTTCTTACCTTTCCATCTGGGGTAAGACCATTGATGACAGCATTAATTGTTCTTAGCAAGATTCCCGATTGGACAGCTGCAGGAAAAGCAGATAATCACACACGAATTAGCACAAGCAAAACGCCAGGTAATGCGCATTTTGGAAAGAAAAAGAACCTCTCCGATTATCTACTTTTTTTAAGTAAAGGAATGGGAGTCTGTCGGTTTTCTTGGGGGTTGTACTCCGTTCAGAAGTGAAGTACCCACTCAATGATGAAAATTACCAACACAACTGACACCGAACGAAATCATGAGCGTCATCGCTGCCACGCCACGCGCCAACGCATGGGTGCACGTTTATCTCACTATATTGTTGATGTACGTGGCTTACGCCTAGCCTGCGCACTTGTAGCAACTAAACGTGTGAACGCCTCTTGTCAAACGCTGGTCAAAACGCCATCACAAAACCCCTTAGTCCAGGCTCTCTGTTGTGTTTTGCAATGCTCGGTTGGCAATCTGCACATTTTGCCAACCACGGGTTGCAAAACCATGGAAGGTCAAACACGGCAAAATGAAGATGAGTTATATTATTACAGATAACCAAAATAGTATTTGATTGTTGGACATACAACATTGTCAACAAAGCTACATTACTATGTATTGAGGGCGTTATGGGGACTTTTTGTAGAAATATGTTGCCAACCACGGCTTTAATTTATGCCCTTGCGGCAGCCATGTAAAATGGAGCCAATGTTTACAAACAAAAGAAAGGTCTACATGGTTCCTAATAGTCGACCAAAGTAGTCCAGCCATCCTTCGTTCTGGCGAAGCCTTAGTCAAACTATGGTTTCATAATAGTCCTCGCTCGAATCTGCACCAGGGGAGATACAGGTATGGACTGATCATATATTGTACTATGAAAACCTTTGAAAACTCTGAATATAGCCAATGAACAGTATTCTTACACACGGCTGCAGCGGTTCGGATGGTTGGGAAGTCGGTGCAGTCACCGATACCAAACACGTTGGGGTACTTGGTGTGTTGTCCTGTTTCCTTGTTGACACTAAGATACCCTGCTGGTCCAGCGAGGGGGCTTGCCTTCAGGATATCAGGTGCGCCCATTGGAGGACTCACATGCAGCATTTCGTACTTAAGAATTAACAGGTAAGAATTAAATCAAATTAGATTTTGCCCTTCACCGACGTGAAAGTTGGAAAAAAATCACTTTCCAACTTTCACTCGGGAGGTAACACACTGAATATACTGTGTTTATACGTCTGTGAAGGGCAAAACCTAATTTGATTTACATCACCCCGACTCAAAAAAACCCAACAAAAATCACATCTTAGGCCTATACCCTTTTGTGCTGTAGAGGGTTCATTTCATCGAGCAACAAAGTAAAAATATTGCTTACTGTGCGATAAACATAATTCAGCTTGGAGCCATTTAAAGCAATGTACACTGCATGACAATTTGCCTGGTGCCCTTTTTTGCTATGCCAACTTTGTTGTGCTTAGCAAAGTTCTGTGCTATAAGCATACTGCGAAAAACCGCGGTATACAAAGGCCTATACAGGGTGGTGTAAAAAGAAGGCAACCCACTTTTGACAGGAACTTTTACCAACTGGTTTTTTTTTTATAGTAGTGAAGTATAGCTCTTCAACCATACATGCTGATTTTTTTTTTTATCAAATAATCGCAAGAATAGTGTTATTATGCTAATTTGAACACAAATCACCAAAATCACTATTGTCCACGTGTAAGTCCAGCTCCGGAGCTCAGTCAAGCGGATGGGCTAAAGCCGTCCGTGGACAAACAGTTTTAGCACAAGACATTTTTAAACTACCATATCTCAGAAACAAATTTATGCATTTTGCAATCATTTTTCGTCACTCATGTTTCGAGATCAATTTTTTTCAATACCATTATGTTGAATTTGTAAAATATGCTCAACAAGGTGAACACTCACAGGCACATTAATCATCTCCATGGGTTCAGTGTCCAGCTTTGCAATGACCACTTCTTTGCTCTCTGGTTTGACCTCCACCAGATTGTGTCGAAGATTGACCTGAATGCCTCGCTCTTTGCAGATTCCCATCAAGATGGCGGCGTACTTGGGTGCGCTGAATATGACAGGCAGTGGCGAATAATACCTGATGCTGGCCTTGTCAAGCATATTATTCTGTCACAGAAAAAGGATCATCATTACTTTATCGTCTTCACATGGCTACCGGTGTTGTATTCGAGTATGTTTCCATGAGAACGAGAACGAATTCTTTCCCATGAGTATGAGTATGAGTGTTACTTCGAGTACAGGACATTTTTTCCATGAGTACGAGCAGGAGTATACGAAACATTGGGTTTTTTTTTTTTGCGAGTACGAGTATACGTTTCCATGAGCACGAGCACATTTCGATTGGTACACAATGTTTCTAAAGGCTTTTTGGCTGTCAGTTTAGGAAAAAATGTAATACCCATCAAATAAAAAAAAGAATCTTTTCGTGCATGTATACATCTAATACTTATCCAAAATTCCAGCGGGATAACATTTTCAGGAGTACGAAGATTACTTTACCACTAGTGCGAATGCAAGTGTGAGTACAGGTTCGAGTACGAATACAAAGAAAGGACGCGTACGAGAACGAGTACGCAATACAACAACACTGATTAAAGAAACTTCTTTTAATATTTGCAAATCAAAATTTTCGTCATATTTGCCAAACCATATCAAATCTGACTTTCTTTTGATAAGGCAGTCAGGCCCGGATTAAGTGTTTTGTAGGCCCTAGTCACCAGTGTTCCGAAGAATGGAGAAGGAAGGGGAAAGGAGGAGGGAATAAGAACAAAGTGGAGAATGTAAATAATAAAACACCGCTGCTTAAAACTCCGCAAAGCTAAAATCAGGTTCTGAAACCCATGGCAAAAGACGGTACATTCTGTCATGTCGGCACAAGCTGCCGCGCGAAGTCGCTTCATATACGGGGGTTGACAGCTACAGCTGTGCAAAACTCAAGCACGCGCTCGCTCGCACAGTTACGAATTGAGCTGATTCTTATTAGTGACTACTCAAAATGACGAGGGCATATTTCGATAGAGAGTCAAGCTACAATTTTGATATTTGCGCCACAGAGCACCTGCAATCCAAAAATTTCCCAGGGCTCTTAAGCATCCCCGGACCCCACGCCTTCAGGGCTTCACGCTCGCATATAAAAAAAAATCCACTATAGGATTTAAAGATCCCCCTTTGCAGTCTGGGATCAGGGAACAGGCCTCAACAAGGTATGCGCAAAGGTACTGAGCATATACATGCAGTTTTGAGACAATGAAATAAAATAATTGTTATAGCTGGATTGAATTTTGTATTTTCGAGCAATTTTAAAAATTAATTTCGAACGATTACAGTACAAGCTCTCAATATAACAAATTAAACTTTTGCAATTTTCCTCCGATAGAAAAGAAAGAAAATAAAACAAAAAGTTATGTGGCGATGGCCAAGTCTTCAGGAGTCGGACTTATGACCCTAACTCAATGAGCCCCTTACCGACTTCCAATATAGAACTCTTCCGGGTCTCGGTACCCGGCCCACCACACCTCCTTCCCTGTCCATCCATGTAACTCGAAAGTCAGGCACCATAAAGGGAGGAAACGAGGTGGCACCCTAAGCCTTGCTGCCGAGTCAGCAAAAGAACCCCGTACCTATACGCAGATGCCAACCTGGACTTCGCAGACAGTCCCAACTTGTGAGTCAGCTTACCGACCGACCGAGCTAACTGCTGTTGGTAAATGACGACGGGAAATTAATACTCTTAAATGACAGAACCGTGGGCATCGAAAACCAAAAATAAGTCCAAGCGGGTTCGAACCCCTAACCCTGGGTCCGCTGTCAGACAGCTTAACAACTAGGCTGTTTTGGTAGGTGCTTTTCTCTTTGCGTTTAAACATAATCTTTATTTCCGGCGTGGGAGAGTTACTTTGTGTTTCATAGCTGCACGAACGATGCATCAGCATCGTGCTGTAAATATGAATGCTGTTACGTAGCTCTTTTCTACAATCATTCTTATGTACCGAGCAGATGACTGTTCAGAGTCACTACGAGCAATTAACATTACCAAGCTCGTCTTTATTCAGTCTCATCAATTGTTTCGCGTCGCGCGTCTTCCGGCCGGCACTGACATGTCGCGCTGATTGAGAGAAATTCTAGCAAGTTCCCCTGTACCTCATTATACTTATATCAAACTTCTGACCCGTTTACAAATATTTACGAGGTAATTTTGTTTGTCTGATTCTAATTCAGATCCCTTAAACTCCATCCTTGTGAAAATTCATTTTTTTCTTCTACTTATTTATACTCGAATCATACGCTTACGAAAACTATACCGGAAAAAAACAACATTTCAAATGTCCCGCGCTGCGAATTTGTCAACCATCTCCCACAATGCACTGGGAAAAATGAACTCTCCGTGGCAAACTCAAGATGGCACATGAAACGCCCGAATTACCCGGCCGTGGACATTTGAAAAGGGGGGGGGGGGGGCTGGACACCACATTATAATGGGACGCTCTTTATCAATTATGTATAATCGCGCTTACATTTTAAAAAGCTTTTGTTCTTTGTTTCTCCACTTTCCAGTGCTATTGAATACATTTTAGTTGCTGGGACGTTCGGAAAATACCTCAAAATCCTCATTTTTTTTCTCATCACAAAAAAGCGGGGGACGATTCAATATCCATCCCCGCAGTCAAAAAGTGTGGGGGTATATACCCCACCCCACCCCCTGCCCGGGAATTACGCCCCTGATGACGGCGCACGGAGTCAACGAGCCTGCCACTCGCATGGTCTTTTTTTCGTTTTAACACAAGATCATCATTTAAACATCTTTTTCGAGTTTGGATTCATTAAATCAGCTGTTCTGAGCTATAGAATCAAATGTAGGCTACATATTTGTATTCAGGGACGAAAATCGTTGGGGAACGACATCAATCCCCCCGTTCCCCACCGATCGACGCCCATGGTTGGCACCGTGTTTCAGAACGACAGACTTTACAAATAGGGCCAATGAATACATGCTGTACAGCGTCAGTTGGTGAAATCGAAAATTCTGTGAGAGAGAGACCCTAAAACCTTTTTAAAAACATTTACCTGCGCGTGCGGATGTGTGTGAGTAGGCCGATGTGTCTTATGGCACACTGCGGTATTTTCGTAGGCCCTCCCCCAAGTTTTCGTATGGCCCCGAATTTTCCGTAGGCCCCCAAATTTTCCGTAGGCCCTAGGCACAGTGCCTACTGTGCCTATTGGGTAATACGGGCCTGAAGGCAGTGTAAAAAAGAAAAAGCCTTCGTTCAACATAATATGATGCTATGATTATTGTTTTCTGGAGGGGGAAAAAAGGCCTAATTTGCCAGTAGATCAGTGAGAACTCAATTTAAAAAAAAATGGAGGGGTGGGGGCTGACAGTGACACTATATGGGGCAATGTTCAAAAACTGTATAACCTATCATAGGTTAAATGCATGTATATATAGGCCTACACAAAATAGAGAGTACTAGGGCACTATGGCCATGCATCATCTACTTTTCTTACCGCTTAATTGAGCGGATATGTTTAATTTGGGGTTACTCCATTTTCTGTAGTACGGTTAATGCATGTTGCCTTACTGAAAACCGCGACTCAAACGACAGCTATCAATATTATTTTAAAATAATTATACGAAATATTATGAAGAAAACGAAAAAGCCAAATGGGTGTGGCTAATATCTCCGTGATCGTGCACATACACCAATCAAATGTTGTAACCCCCAGCCAGCCTTTAAACAATGTCCTACATGCATCCAATGATGGTATGAGCCACGGCGCAATTGAAGTCGATTCTACATGTATTTGTATTGGTTCGATTCCCTCGACTGTAAGTGATTTGCATTTCAAACGGTTCATGAAAACTTGAACTGGTGCAGCCTAGTTCAATACACGCACTATCAATCGTTTGAACGACTGCCTGCATATTGCTTTTGTGTGGCAATACAAAGGGTCTGTCTGACACGGCTGACTTGTTTTGTATAGAGCCATGAACAAGTTTGTAGATTATTATTGCAGAATATGAGTTCGCTTTGCCAGTGACATGAATTCACACACAACAATTTACCCGCTTGAAGTAGTCCTCCGCTAAATACATGATCTTCTGGGGAGCCCCCGCGCACTTGACCGGAGTGTTGGGGAAAGTGAATATGGCGTTTCCACTCTTGAAATTCTGTATGGCCGTGTATGTCTTGCCAACAGTCTCGTAGGTGTAGTTGCTACAAACCATGGGATCATTCTCTAGAGCCTCTGGTAGACCTTTTATCTGCATTTTAAAACAAAAATGGTGTTGTTAGTTATACCTCTCCTGCAGTGTCCACATCATCATGGGAGCCGGGAAGAAACTAATGTTAGATAATGTGCTGAACAAATCAGCTACGTGAGAAAAAATGAATCAGGCAGCCGTGGTCATAATGTGTGTTGGTAGTCTGGTTTTTTTTTTTGCATGCTTATACCAAACCTTTACTAAACTCATCAATTAATTTGGCTGTGAATATTGCTCTTTATTTAAATCAGTGTCAGAGTTGAATTTACTAAATACTGACACTAGTACCTGATCAAAGTTGATTTGAACTCCCATGGCCATCACCAGGTACTTGTACTGCAATACTCGCCCTCCTGATGTCTTGACGCTGTTATTTTCAGGATCGAATTCGACAGCCTTTTCCTTGACCCAGTCGCACGCTTTGGGCATGAAATCCTTCATTGGCTTGCAGGATTCTTCTTTTTTCCTGAGGCCTCCTCCCACCAGCGTCCATAGGGGCTGGTAGTAATGTACCTTCGATAAACATTAACATTTGGACCGCTCATATACCATCTACTTTAAGGATCTACAAGTTTTCACTCATTAAAAACAAGACATAATATCACAAGATGATACACAGGGTGAGTTACACACAAAAAAACAAGAGTCGCAGGATAAATTTGTTCCAAAAGTTTTGCCTGTAGCACTTTCAAAATCTAGGATATGAAAGCCCATTCATTAAGCGCTCCTTTAGTACAGGAATCATTCCGCATTTTTAACACAAACACCATTTTAAAGTTCCGTCCAAGGATCACAAAAAGTAAGTGTTCTTTCAGCGAAACCTTGCTCAAACCGAAGAAAGGACTGATATCAATAAAGGAAATGGTATCGTTTGGAAGAAAACAAAACGTGTAGGAAGGTAGCTTAACAAAGTGTGCAATCGGCTTCGACTTCTGGATATTTTAGGCAGCTGTCGCGGAGGACTCAAGGTTCAATATACAGTGTGCTTAAAAACATGCAAACAAAATATATCGGAATGCCAGACCGGGAATGTGTAACCAAAGTAGATAGTATAGGTATTGCTTGTAAAAGATACGCCTGTCCACTTTAAGATGAGGCACGCAGGCACCCAACGTCCAGATCTGATAATGTTTGACAGAGGTATATGAGTAATTTTCCAAGAGAGGTCAAATTGACCACGGGACCAAGTTTTTAATTTTAGGCATTGGGACAAAGGTGGCCTTATTGCCTCTGTGTGGACATTTGCCTGGCCAACAAAAAATGTGTTTAGCGAGTAAACACAATTCTAAACACATTCTTCCTATCACCTCATGCTAAAAATGATTAGCATGTAGGCATAGACATGCTTACAAGCTGATCGCAAGAAAGCTTTGTGTATGTTTACTCTCTAAAAACATTTTTATTTTAACTTCGTCCCATGGTCAGTTTGACCTCTCTTGGAAAATTACTCATAACTCAAAAATTATCAGATTTGGACGTTTGCCCACAAAGCCAGGATCGGAAATGGATACTGGCATTCGATAAATGGCCTTGTGATCAGCTTTATTCAGTTAATGGACAGCACGAGACGTGAGAAAGAAACTATAAAACCAACTTAGTTGAAATGGAAAATGTGATGTCTTACATCGCTTGGTTCGATGACGGCAACCTGTCCCTTGCCGTGTTTACGAGACAGACTACTGGCCATAGCCAGACCACCAGCCCCACCGCCGACCACCACAAACTTGTACATGCTGGGTGAGGGTGTGCTGCCCTCTGTAGATGCAAGTCTTCCATGACAACTTGAAGGTGAGGGTGCGACATGACGAGACAGTATCCATGGCAACGCCTTGAAGGACTTCAGGTGATGGGCAACATTCCCGATGGCCATCATTTTCCTCCCTGTAACGTTGCAGACCCAGTAAATAAAGTGCCATAGACCCCAGTGATACATATGCACCCGCTTCAGAAATCAGGAAAAATACTTACAACTAAGGTGTTTAGGACATTAGGACCAAATTTCTGTTCTTGGCTTCCGCCCTTCTTTTTTACAAACCCTCAAAGTTCATGGCCCACAAATGCTCTTATACCAATTTGAGGGCGAGCAAATTGTGCCGCGCAGTAGGCAATTGTGGCCCATTTACTGCCCTGGCTGCAACCGTAAACCCACATATCGGCAATCCGAACTTGAACATGTTTCCGATTTAAATTCAACAGTCTGCGTATACAAGACCATGGTTGCGATTTGTACTTTTATTGCAATTTGAACTTGATATTAGGTCTAGGAAAGCTCTACATACATAGGTCTAGATTTAAAAGCGTATGATAAGGTCCCCGATCAGCGATTAATGGAATTATTATGAAAGTCACTGTAAGGATACGTACCCTTTTGCTGTCAGAGCTGTAGAGATGATTAGAGATATATGTTTTAACTGTTTTCTCACCACGCGCGCTCGGCAAATTGTGGGTGAACACTTTCCCCCTCCCCGACCAAGCCCCAGCCCCCTTACTTATACCCCAGGGCCCAATTCCGTCGGGTTTGCCTTTATATCTGAACCAAATTCAGAGCGGAACAAAATCGTAATCATGCACGTCATGCATGACTTGTGAATGCATGACCGACAATGGCGGAGTGTATTTTGTACTGTGAAAAGACATTTTAATATGGTGGATTTTACATGCAGAAAGTAAAATGCTACGTACGATCTCTTTTACATAACAAATGTAAAAAAAAAATACACAGCAGAGAAAAACAGAATGTTCAATACGCGTTGATGAATTTAGGTATGGTATGACTTACCAGGATTTCGTCAGAAAATTCGGTATTTATTAGACTGACTGTGCATATGACATGCAACTGTTTACTGCACTGTTGGAATATTGAGGCCAGCCATTCAAGTTACTGTAGAAATTTTCAAGGCCAGGTCAGCCCCTGGATGACATTGTTAGTGCTATATATAGTGGGGCGCTATATATACCAATGCCAAGCGCAATGCCTCACGCACGCATGCGCTAGATGCCCAGGGTAGTAATGCCATCTAATCATAACAACTGCAAACGCACGTGTGATAGGAATCAAAGTAGCCACACTTAAAATGATATGCGGGACCTTGACGTCAACTCAAAATGATACTCTACAATTTACATAAACAATAACGTTTGATAAAAACGCGCAAAATCCATCACTAACATTGCGAGAATAAGTATGATAATCATGTTTTGTTTGTAAATAGTAAATACGAAGCATTAGGCTATATAATGAGGTAACACGTACATGGCATGTTGCCAGACAATATGTTCACATGTGCGGTAGTTTTTCTCGCCACTTACCCTTGTTCATCCAAGAACTATTATAACATGCATGCGCACAAAGGCATCACGTGATATTTATTATTTTTTGAGTCGAGCAGTACGTTCCAACTATAGCAACTCTGTATACATGGAAGGCGCATTTACGATATAGCAGACACAATAGGAGGGCGCTGTTTGGTTAGGGTAAATATAAATGCATGGTTACCCAAATCAAACAGTGCGCCCTCCCATTGTGTCTGCCATATCTCAAATAGGCGATTGGATCATTTTGCATGTTCAAAATAGTCTTGCACACGAAAATTAGGAACAGAATAGTCTGGCGCTTGGCAATGCTTCTTCATTGTTTGTGTTTTATGCGGTATACGTCCAGGGTACATGGAAACAATTATTGGCGCAAGATCGGACAACAAAAGATTTTTCAAAGTTGTAATTTTTGCCATCTAATATACAGTATTACATTAAATTATAATAATAAGCAAAATGGAAAAGGATCTTGGACGTGATCATTCACAACGATTATTCGTTAAAACACGTAATACACGTTGGAAATAAAATCACAAAGTGCACGATACCAATCCATTCGTTGCTATTTGCAGGATCGAATCAGAATGTAGGTGTGACAGGTAATTCTGTCCCCCCTGGTAAATGTGTCCCCCCGGACACATTTACCGGCCCGTGACCCGGTAAATGTGTCCGGGGGGACACTTTTACCTAGGTAGATTTGTCCCCCTCCAGGTAAAAATTTCCCCCTGCCCAACAATGAAAGTGTCCCCCTGGTAAATGTGTCCCCATGCAGTATATACTGAGAGCAGCAGCGGGTCGCGCGCGCCAGTACATGCTGCAAGATATGTGGCAGTGATTATCACAATGTGTACATATGCGTCTCCATCTACAATGGAAATTCATCCAATAGGAAATTTCGTTACGCGCTATGATGGGAACACAGACCAATCCAAGTAGGCGTTGTATCAATAAGACGAGGGCCTTGCATCGCCGCTCGGGCCGAGCGGCGATGCATGGCGATGGCCCTCTGTATTGACCTATCGCGGTAGAATCACGATAGATTTCACCGTACTCCAAATTGAAACATGGTGTTCACATATCATCTCACAGTAGACCAAATTAAATATTTTTATATTCATGAAGGGCAGACTAAAAGTCCAAAATGTATACCTTTGGCCTATAGAGTGAATTCATAAAAACAACAAAGAGAATTAACTGGCCTTCCGGGTTTCAAAAGAGGGGGACCAAAAAACCTGGGGGACAGAATTACCTGGAGGGGGACAGAATTAACGGGCCGGTGAGGACACTTTTACCTAGGTACTGCTGTCCCCCGGACAGTTTTACCGGGGGACAGAATTACCTTCCACACAGGAACCAAGTTTTCTACCAGGGTCTACTATACTGACTCGATGTTGAAAGTGTAGACCCTGGGAACGCGGTTGAGTCACACATGGCACTTTGGCAGACAATGGGTGCGCATGGTTGTTTATTTATTCATCCTTGTTCATCAAAAAAACACAACACGCATGCGCACAAAAATCGGGTAATAATGTAACTTATGTCACGTGATTGTAGCTATTTTCTTTCTTATTCTGAAGTCATGTTACATGTATAATAGGGTGACGTCTGATCTAAATGCAATTTTGAGAACAAGCTACCATATGTGTTCTGTCTTTCCTCGAACTTTCTTTTTGGGGGACGCAATTTACAGGTCAGTTCTCAACTAATTTACGCTTCGCACGAAAATTACTCAACAGTTTATCTGCGAGCAACGTTTTGTGCGATGTTTCAGCAACTGCTCAAATTATAACAGATGTCCAAGTAAGAGACGGTACCTCAGTGGCACTTGTTTTCGTCATCATGCACGATTCAAAATGTAAAAACTGACTTTGAACTGTTAGTTTGCCCAATTGTTATTCAACACTATAAGAAACTTCTATGACAGTCTGATGGGTCAACAGGTTAACTCATCATGGGTCACACATTGACTCACCATCGCGACTGCATGCACTGCAATGTGCCAAAATGTAGTAGGCTCAATTGTGTAGTACATTAATGCACATTATGGGTGCATTCGAGTAACTTACAGGCCTTAGTCAAACTTGCACGAGAGCGTTCGATTAGCCATCGTGTGATACCCGTGTCGGGTGTCAACCACCACTGCTCCAGCTCGCGAGCGGGTCTCTGGCTTCCCGCCTTTAATGCATGACGTAACCGGACGATTTCGTGGCTAGCTATAGACTGAAGATGGAGGGAACATGGATACGAATTGAGTATTTACACAATGAAGTGATTTATGACCCAGATAAAATTGGCCTATTCCAAATTATTGATCTGGTTGCAATGATAAAACTAATTCCATTTTACCATTGGAGCAGACGACAGTATGCCTGGTGTGTTTAAATGTTAAAGTCCCAACACGCAACAACCTTTGACCTTAATTTTCCCAGAATGCCAGGCGAATACACTGTAACCTCGAACCAGTTTATAGCCTCATTGTGTGGCTTCCTCGAGTGTAATTAAACCCTGTGTATGCACTATGTAGCTACTCGAACGCACACAATAATGAATCACATATGGTCCCGACAGTCTAAGCGCGCACGAGATATTCCACTTATACCCAGAATACAACGCGGCTATACACAACGGGAACCGACAAGAGTAGTGGCTAATTAAGCCTGAAAGAAAAATGCTGACAATATTCAATTATTTGGCACCTCACTACATTTTGAACAAATGAATCAAAAAAGTGGTAAAGAGCGATTAAAGACATATTCCAACATTTAATGTCAACTGATGTGAGAGAAACAGTTCCTATCCAAAACATAACAAGGAACAATGCAAACTATCAGTTCATTGAACAACAATTAATTGTTTAATTACTCGGACAAAAATCCCGAATTGGCGGCGGCGGCAAAAAAGACAAATATATATGCAGGATATTGCATCCCTTTTAGTACAAAATAATATATAAATGTGTGACTCCTTTCCATGAAACTGATCCATATATACTTATGATTCCTGTTTGCGGCTTCCATAAAACAACATTTGGTTGGTAAGAAACTGGGTAATTTGCAAGTAATGATTGTGCCAAGAGAAATTACAAGAAACTGAATATCAAGTAATCTGTATAATGCGTGTTTTTGTCTCAACATTTGTAGCGCTTGATGTGCAACATGCAGTTTAGCGGTGGTACGCCATTTAGCAAGCATTTTCAAAAAAGCACGCCGGTAAAGGTATAAAGAAAATGTTGCATCATTCATGTTAATTGTAAAGATTTATATTTCATTGAAATTAAATCCAACTTCGACAAGCCCGACGCCGATACGGAGTGGTCAACTGACTCAACTCTGAGGAAGATCAACGTGAACATGTTTCTAACGGTCTATAGCCACATCCGAGAACACGGCCTTTGTTCCTCTCTGATGTCCATGAGTAGTATAGACACATCGTACTTTCTCTGTCAGTGAATTTAATTAAATAACAAAAACTGTCCTTATTGAGGGTGCATCGCGCAAAATGTCTATTGCCACATAAACCCTCCATATTTTCGTTGAGTTCTCAGCTCACTGATGTCATCATTGTAACTAAAAGACTGGTTGTTTTATCTCTAAGTTTGTGCATGTTTTGTAGTTGAGTATCATTCCGTGTATCTTTGTGTTGTGTTTGCCTGCTTTCGGTATTTTGATGGTACACATGTATAGTTGTATTGTTTGTCAGTCAATATGCTTGCGTGTTTGTTTCGTGTGGGATTTGTTTTTAAAGATGCTACACATACCGATGTGAACTGCCGTTTTATGTTAATATGTTTAGAATTATGGTAATGTTTATGATCTGCTTCCTTGCGTTATTTCAGAAATATCTATCATTTACACCAGACTTCGGGTTGTATGCGGACTTTGGCCTTCTTTATGACCGCCTGCAAGTTTTTTTACTTTGGCAGGTCACAACAAATATACATACGAATTGAAACAAAATAATCGTTATTTTACAGATTCCTAAAGAAATATAAGTTAACAAAGTTGCATTGCTTGATTTAAAATGATTTCAGATTTCAACTATCATTCAAGGTATAGTCCTTAAATTAAAAACTAAATGAACATTCAAACAAAACAGATATTCAGTCTATAACTGAAACACAATCAACTGTATGTGGTTCTTTGGATCAACTAATGCAAATTCAAGGTTTCAACGAATTCTATAAATGTCTTAAGCTGCATAATTATTATGAGCCTTCAAAAACACAAAGCTGGAAATTGCACCACTATTAAAAGGTGGATACGACTTTCCAAACAGCATGCAAACAATTTTGTAAGAACTCGGTGTGGTTTTATTGGCCACCTCCTCTGCCTAACCAACACTTTCGCCTTCCGTACTCGCACCTCTCGCATAATGACTGAAGATGAGGGGCGGGCCGGTCTTGGTTTTGTCCCCTTCCAGACACGTAAGTGCCATCTTGCAATTTCCACATCCTTCAAAGGAAAACATATATCAAAGAACATTAGTCTCTAAATTTTAGTAACTGCTTTTCAAGCATTTTGTTCGTTTCTAATAATACCGTTCAAAATCCAAAGACGAATGTTCAAAACCTAACTAGTGAAAGTTTCAGCTCAGTGGATATTACATTTTTCGAGAAAACAGTGAAAAAACATGCATGCACAATTGTGGATCACAAAATACGATTTCTTCTACATAACTGTTTATTCCAAAAATCAATCAGTTGACTGATCGTTGGCACCACCTACAGTGATTTCTTCTAAATGACAGCAAGCCAGACTATGTCAAGGGGTGTTTAGTAATGTCAAGGGGGTGTTTATTACCAGCGATCGCTAAATCCAAGTATTAAAGTTTTTGTTCTTATGATTCGGTAGGTTACTTTGGGGGGTAAATGCAAATGATTTTGTAAGATCATATGCCTTTATTAAAATTTGACAAACAATTAACACTAGGGAGTACCCTCCAACCATCCGACCAATGCAGGGGTGCCGGTGATATCTAATTTCTTGGACTTTCCTTTTGATCCCGTAATTTGGTTCAAACGTTGGTCCGGACTCAACTTCCTGGCCATTACTTACTTGCACTGATCATGGCGGAAGTCTTCACATAGGCCTATCTTTGCTCTTCATTCGAAATATTTCGTTAGTGATTTGTCGGCACAAGCACCCTTATGGGACCTTCGTTTCGATCGAACGAACTCTATAAATGTTGACTTATTATCAAAATGTAATCACAGTAATGAATAACCGGCATTATCTCTTCACTAAAATGTACATCACGATTTGGTGTTGGTGATATCGGTCTCTTAATTCCAATTAACGAGTGATTAAAGCTAACGAAAAGGAGACCTCCATGATCCGACTGAAACTATAGGGAAAAGACGAGTTTAATTCATTGCTTACAATCGGAAAGATCGAATTTTCACTCGTTTCCACTGCGGTGATTCTTTATCCAAAGTATTTTAATCCAAACTAGTTATTTTCGCTCTTAATCGTTTGGAAATTAGAAAGCATGTCTCTAATGGAAAACCTTTCGACCGCAAGGTTGATCGACTGCATGAGATTAGACAAATTTTGAGAAACAAAAATAGCCAAGCCGATAAATAATTGCGTTATCACCATGTGAGTGATATCTCTTTGTGAGGTGTGTGGGTTCTACGAAGGAACATGCAGTTGTTAAACTCGACGTTTCGAACAGTATTTCTCTGTTCGTCATCAGGAGACTGCCAGATTCTGGAATCTCCCACCTTAACGGTCCACTGAACTTAGCATCCACTTCTTAAACTACTACACCAACAGCGTCTGGCAGTCTCCTGATGACGAACAGAGCATACTGTTCGAAACGTCGAGTAAATGAACTGGTTCTTCTCAGAACCACGAGACTCACAACGAGATATCATTCGTATTGTGTTACTGCAAACCTCCCATTCATGTCAACCATGCAAACCTTTAAGCCGATAAAATGTTAGCCACCCCACCTTTCGATTGCAACTGCCACCATGCGCTCGAGTTCCTCAGGCGGGAACCACAGCTGGTTGGGCGTCTGGCAGCTTTGGCACTTCTGCTGCCAGCTCTTGGCGATGCGCTGGCCGCGCAGGTCCAGCGTTAGCCAGGCCAGGTAGGTACTCCACGATTTCTTGCACTTTCGACAGCCACGGCAGAGGGCCCTGCCGTGGACCGTCTGAAAGGCGAACTCGCGGGGGATGTCCCGGGGATCCACCGGTTCATCGAAGTCTTCCTCCATCACTGCTCTGATGATCCTTGCCATATTGTGGGAAAAAAAGTTGGCTGACCTACAGACGTGTACTTGCCCGGCTGGATATACATGTAAAAGAAAGCACACGTTCATATCCATCATCTTTTGATTATAAATAGGCAGCGAAATGTAGTATTGGTAATGAAACCAAGGATTCCTAAATGTTGAAAGAGAATTAGACACTGAAGAAATTACAGTTTTAGAGGTTGGAGGTGGAAAAAACCCAAAAGACTCTAATTGGGGGAACCTACGGAATCAGGTGGACTGGAACTACAATCCACATGTGGCCCAGGGCAGGAATCGAGCCAATGTCACAAAGGTGCATGGAAGGCGAGGAAAGAACCACTATGCCAACTGATTCCTGATGTAAAGTAAGTAATGTCTATCACGAGCCAATGCAGCCCATCAGGCCGGCATTTATCTCCGGTGTCAGTATAGCATGAAACGACTGGGACGATTTCTATTCCACCTGGATGGGGTGCTAGTCCATCTGATGGCGCAGGTTACTCCCCAGCTACTGCCGGCTCTGCCGCTACCGTACCCATTTACACTCCTGCGTGGACTCGAGCAAGTGGGGGTGAAGTGGCCCTGATCCTTACCCTAGGCCACACTCCCCCACCTACTCAGTACGGTGAAACGGCAGCAAGTGTGACAATATTAACTTGCAGCTTGTGTTGGAGAATGGAGAAGACATAACTACGAAAGATCAAGACGAGAAATCCACCGATACAAATAAATACGGCCCACCTTGGGCCAGTTTCATTGAACTACTTAACATAAAACGGGCATGCTCAGCAGTTTTCTGTGCCTAAGGACCTGCATGAGGACCTGCAGGTCAGAAGCTATCTTCCATGTCTTTTGGCCTGGTATAACACTTTTTTAGCTAAAATATTTCCTGTGCCTTTTGTGTGTACATCAGCAGCCCCATAAAATTAGCCACTGCTTGTGGTTCATCATCCCATGATGAAATCATAGAGCTACATAAATTGTATAACAATCACTACACAAAATACAACCACCATGTGCATCCCAGGACGAAACCTGTGTTGACCTAGAGCTACATTCCACAAATTGTATAAACCACTGAACAAAATACAACCAGTTAACAAAAATTATGACAAAATTCATTCAATGAACATCCATTCGCTATGGGATCCTGCTCTCTAAAAAGTCCCTGGCCAGATTTGAACCGGCATCCGGGTTCTATGTATTTGGCCTTATCCTTTTCTGGTTCAAAATGACACTTTTGATGTCATGGAGAAATGTCGTTTTCGACCAAGAGTGTCCATGAAAAGTGACCCTGAACACTAGGCCAAATAGAATCCGGATGCTGGGTCAATGTGACGGTGACTGCTCTATGTTCGGACACGCCTCTGTTCCGACAAGCTGCACATAAGATTGCGTTACTCCCGGTTAAGGTTAGGGTAAGGGTTAGGGTTACAGGGTTAGGGTTAGGGTTAGGGATAGGAATATGTGCAGTCGGAACATAGCTAGGGGTGTCGAGACATGGGTTTGCCGCAACATAGGTGTGTCCGAACATAGGTGTGTAACCAATGTGACCAGGGATTTCTTTAGAGTATGCAGTGTTAATGACAAAAATAAATCTACGACTTAAAATTATTATGGTGCTTTTGGTGGGGGCCGTCTGGCTATAACACCGCGCACTATATTAATAGGACATTTGCCACGCTTGGGAAATTGTCTCAGGCCTCTCTGTAGTTCAACAAAAGCTCCGTGGTTCAAATGCAAAATACATGTACATGTATTGTGTGCCATACCCCACTGATGAGTGCATTGTGCAAAGATGTGCATTTGTCTTGTCTAGTACCCAGTATACTGCTGTGCTAATGTGCATGCACAACTTACTCCGTCGGATACCGTAATTCAGTCGGCCAGAATTGACAATGTTGTGTAGTTCCCTCGCCACGCGATATCGGAGAAGGTTGGTGAATTGAAGAAATTTTAAAACAAAGGGACTCAAACGTTCATCTTGAAAAACTGCATCGCATTAACTTCCGCAAATGTTGCAACATCATCCACCCGCGCATTTGGGGAATTCCCCATTATGACACATGCCAGCTCTGCACTTTGCTGTAATAAGGTACGGAGGCCGATGTTGGCCGCATTAACCATAACTAGACAGAGACAGAGTAGCGAGCATGTGGGATTTGTATTTATGTTTAAAATATCCGAGTGGCAAATGACATGGTCACATAATCGAAGCCGAGTACTTCCAAAAACCTTTATGTTTTGGAACATCTGTGTAAGCAGTGGCGTAGCCACGGGGGGGGGGGGGGGGGCCTGGGGGGCGACAGTCCCCCCATGAAACCTTGTCGCCCCCCAGTCGCCCCCCCCCCCCCCACCCTGAGATTTTGAGTTTCTAAAAAAAATATCATTGATCTACATGACGCCCCCCATGAAATGTTCCAGCCCCACCCCCAGCCCCCCCCCCAGCCCCCCCCCCCCCGGCACAATTGCATAGTTGCGTAGACAGATCAAGACCTGTTTACACTAGTAACGGATCTGAGGGGGTCGCAACAGCCCGGCCCCCGTTCAGCCGCTGACTATTATGTTATGACTTATAAAATGGGGCCAAAAATAACTTTTACATACATATTCTTTATTGCTTTACATACAGTGCAGGAGAAATTATCGTAGACTGCAAAATAAATTTCCGGGGGCTGCGCATGCCACATGGGACCCCACCAGGACCAAGGGCGGATCCAGGGGGGGGGGGGGCAAAGGGGGCCATGCCCCCTCCTCCCAAAAAAACCCAACGAAACCAATTGGTTTTTTTTATGTGACGTCGCAATAAAGGCAGGCAATGAGTACACCACCATCTTTTCCTAAAAAAAACCATTGGTTAAAGTGGTCAGAAATTGCCTCAGATCGCACCACAGAGCATCGAGAATCCAAAAAATTGATCGGGGCCCTTAAGCGGGCCCCGAACCCTTCGCCGTAATTTTTTGACCCACATTTTGGGAGACACAAAAAAAAATTTGCCCCCCCAAAAAAAATTGTGTTCTAGATCCGCCCTTGACCAGGACATACCTTCAGTACGCCTGAGAGGCTTGGACTCAACACCCCCTCCCATATCAACAATATTAATGATTTTTTGATGAGCCTGGGGTAGAATACATTTTCCGGCCAGACATTTTTATAGGCCTACTCAGTAACTCAGTTATTTAGTCAGTGTCTCAGTGAGTTTAAGATATAGAATAACGACATCGACAGTAGGCTGACCAGGTTCTACGGGGGAGCTAGGGGGGGGGGGGGCTGTAGCCCCCCAAAAATTTTGTCTAGCCCCCCCCCCCAAATAAATTCCGTAAAAAAAAATTGCATTAGCAAAAAGAAGGATTGTGATGTACATGCGAACGGTCTCCCCCTAAAGAAGAAATAGCCGTGACAAGGGTGCATTAGTTAATATATTGTGAATGATTTTAGGATGTTATTGGCGCTCCCCATTGAAAATATGGCTAAACCCCCCCCCCCCCCCACCTATTGATAAAAATTCTGGATCCACCGTGCTAGCCCCCCCCCCCCCCCCCAAAAAAAAAATATTGGTTCTAGAACCGCGCCTGAGGCTGACTCCGGGTATCGGACTCAAAACTTTGATTAATCGACACTGTTCGGCGCCACGTTGACTACTAACTCGACGGACGTTTGATAAAAATGTAATGGAATTGTAGGCAGCGCAAGTGGAGTAAATATCGAGGTTGCATTGTGTTGTCACTTATTTCTCTCTAAGCACACGGTGACCATAATGGCAGAGTTCGATTAAGCCAGGACTGTCTGGGGTCCTAGCATTAATTGAACTGGACCGAGGGCCTTTGTTTTTTTCTAACAAACATACAATCTGATTGGACCAGAAAGTTACTCTATTCTCCAGTGGAAATGAGATTACCATGAATGACCAAACGCTTAGAAATGTAGGCATTATGCTAAGCCTATACCGGAACAGTATAGAATTGGCCAGGCATCCATAAGGAACCATCATGCACATACCCCTCCCGCCTCCCCCTCCTTCCCCTTAAAAAAAAGGCAGAATGTGAAACAACGAACTACAAGCGATAATTTGATTCGTCCTGAGCATCTGGGGAGTTGATGGTGCTTTTTCTCGAATTTTATATGAAAGTCGGATTGTATTTATGTTTATGGCAATTTTAATGATGTGGTACTGGCGCTCATGATCCGGGAGGGGGGGGGGGGTCACCCCCCCCCAGCTCTGTGAATTTTTTTCCATAGAAATGCAATAAAAATAATGCAAGCCGCCCCCCCCCCCTCCCGGCTCTGACACCCAACAATATTATACTGGAAATAATGTCCAGTTTGTCCAGAGCCAACTTTGTTAGGTGGTATTTGTACACTATCGTCGGATTTGAACAGTGCCCCCATTAAAAGAATTGTACGACCCCCCCCCCCCCCCCCAACTATAGTTCCCCCCCCCCCCACCCCACCTATTGATTTTTGGAGGCCAAGTGTCCGGAGAAAAAAAAAACCTGTCTACATTTCAGATTGTTTTGCTGATGACCCCCCCCCCGCTAAAATTCCTGGACCCGCCCCTGTGGTAGGCTTACTTTTAATAATGCGTCGCCGTCCTGTTTGTCATGAATAGCGCCCTCTATAGAATTTCCACGGCGTGAAGTCAGATTCCCAGACGTCTATAACGCTGTTCATGCCGTTTAATCAGCGAACTTGGAGAGTACCAGCAAAAATATTCTCACATCCAGAAACAAAGTAATTTTGTAAACAGGTTTATTATTGTGTGGCATTCATTTTGTTAAAACAGTCAATTAAAATACATAATATTCGGCGCTGTAAGCAATGGGCAAGAAGCACAAAAAGCATCACAAATCTGACAAGAACCCTGCTGACGTTTCAGGTAAGCCATAAGAAATTGGCCACATTTATGGGGCTACTCATTCAGCAACATCATGTTCAGATTTAGTCCGAAAATTTGGGACTCTCAATACTGTGTATGACTATGAGAGTCCCAAAACTTAAGGTATCCATATCGTGCAAAACTTTGTGCTGCATGATAAAACCAGTGTGAATCAAATTTGCAAGCTTCTTACTCACTACAGTTTCTTCAATAATACCTGAAACTTCTGCCTAGCAAAGTTGCTGTTGTGAGCATTGCATCACCAAAATTTCAGCTTTTAGTTCTAATTTTGCAGAGAGTTATCGAAATCCATACGTGAGACATCACATTGATGTGTACTGCAATGCATTGTGCAAAAAGACTCCTCAGCTATAACATTTTCATCTTGTAGATAAAACAGCGCCCTCTTGTTGATCTGAGTGAATGCAAAATGTTTCATTTTTTAGCAGAGGGCGCTTACTCCTAGAACTATGAGGCTCCACGTAGTGGAGCCTCATAGGTTCAGAAGCCCGCAAAATTGTTGTCAGCACAAAACACTAATTAAGTACAAAAACGTCCATCCCAAGCAGGCCGTTTTCCACAGAACCGCTGCACAGTTTGCCCCTAAACTCCATACAATACCTCATGACATACTCACGTTATGTGCACCCAACAAACATCGGTGGATTCTGTCTGTTTTTCGGCAAAAATGATGAAAAATATGCCCTTTCCGCACTGAGCCAACCTAACACTTGAAACGAGCACGCGTGCAGAATGATCGCAGTCATTTTCGGTTCGATCGCTCGGAGCGCGCCGCGGGGGGTATGGTGTAGAGCGGAACGATAGTATGCACATGCGTACAAGTGCAAGTACGTACCCCCCGCGGCGCGCTCCGAGCGATCGAACCGAAAATGACTGCGATCATTCTGCACGCGTGCTCGTTTCAAGTGTTAGGTTGGCTCAGTGCGGAAAGGGCATATTTTTCATCATTTTTGCCGAAAAACAGACAGAATTCACCGATGTTTGTTGGGTGCACATAACGTGAGTATGTCATGAGGTATTGTATGGAGTTTAGGGGCAAACTGTGCAGCGGTTCTGTGGAAAACGGCCTGCTTGGGTTGGACGTTTTTGTACTTAATTAGTGTTTTGTGCTGACAACAATTTTGCGGGCTTCTGAACCTATGAGGCTCCACTACGTGGAGCCTCATAGTTCTAGGAGTAGAGGGCGCTATGTTCATTTGGCCATTGATTAAAAAACAAGTAAGCTGCAAGGCTCTTCCTGCACCTACCCAGAATACATTGGGAATCACACACCCATTTCCAGAGCATGGAGATTGACGTGGGTGGTTTTTGAACTGCCAAAACCTTGCCTTAAAATTGGATTTAAGGTCTCAAATTTTGCAGGTGACATGCTTGCAACTATAGCATTTTGATGTATGTGTTGTGTGGGCATTAATTAGCCAAATGGTGAGTAAAAAAACATCAGTAGTAATTTTGCACGTTTTTATGCACTCGCGGTCCCAGTCTGGTTCAGATTTAGCCCGACTGCGTCTGGCCGTACAGTACTATCGCAAGCTCTGTAGTACGGCCAGACGCCCGATGCTTCCACAGAGACTGAATTTTGTTGGCCGCCGATGTAGCGATTTTGCTACATCTTTCGATCGCGATTATCTTTTCATCCAGGACAAAAATTTCCAAAGTTAAGGTTCTTAGTCGTAGAGCAACTCATACCTTTTCGAAAAAACGTTGTTTGGTCTCAATATTTCCATCCCTCTGGCCACAAGACGAATTTCAGTCATCAGATTCCACAAATATCGTCCCCCATGCGATCCCCCATGCGATTTCAACATGGCGGCCGCGCTGTAATGTATGCAATATGCAGGCGCGCCCGCGTAAACTCATGAATATGCATAAACAGTCTGTGACGTATGACCTCGTGTTTTTGGACGTGCGTGCGGCGGGGCCGTACTTCCAAAAACACGAGGTCAACGTCACCGGCTGTTTATGCATATTCATGAGTTTGCGCGGGCGCGCCTGCATATTGCATACATTACAACGCGGCCGCCATTTTGAAATCGCATGGGGGATCGCATGGGGGACGATATTTGTGGAATCTGATGACTGAAATTCGTCTTGTGGCCAGATGGATGAAAATATTGAGACCAAACAACGTTTTTTTGAAAAGGTATGAGTTGCTCTACGACTACGAACCTTAACTTTGGAAATTTGTGTCCTGGATGAAAAGATAATCGCGATCGAAAGATGTAGCAAAATCGCTACATCGGCGGCCAACAAAATTCAGTCTCTGTGGAAGCATCGGGCGTCTGGCCGTACTACAGAGCTTGCGATAGTACTGTACGGCCAAACGCAGTCGGGCTAGTTCAGATTAGGCCTAGATTAGACCCGTCATGCCCGTGAACGTGGCGTTGTATTACTTGTATTTATAAAGTAGTAGGTCCTTGTTACTTGTTTAGAAAAATAAAAATAACATTTCCTCTTTCAGTCTCGCCAAATTATTTCACGTCGCGGTGAGCAGTGCGCCTGCGTACTTTGCGGTGTGGTGAGAGAGGATAGGACTGGAAGTGGAAACTTGTCTAAAACCGTGTCTGTTTTAGCTGCGACAGAAAACAGCCGTCGAATCATGCGTCCGTTGGGAAAAACTGGTAGCCGAACGGAATTATCACAGTCACATACTCACGTTATGTGCACCCAACAAACATCGGTGGATTCTGTCTGTTTTTCGGCAAAAATGATGAAAAATATGCCCTTTCCGCACTGAGCCAACCTGAAACTTGCACGCGCGCAGAATGATCACAGTCATTTTCGGTTCGATCGCTCGGAGCACGCCGCGGGGGGTACGTACTTGCACTTGTATGCATGCGCATACTATCGTTCCGCTCTACACCGTACCATACCCCCCGCGGCGCGCTCCGAGCGATCGAACCGAAAATGACTGCGATCATTCTGCGCGCGTGCTCGTTTCAAGTGTTAGGTTGGCTCAGTGCGGAAAGGGCATATTTTTCATCATTTTTGCCGAAAACAGATAGAATCCACCGATGTTTGTTGGGTGCACATACCGTGAGTATGTCATGGGGTATTGTTCGAAGTTTAGGGGCAATCTGTGCAGCGGTTCTCTGGGAAATGTCTCTGTTTTGATGGACGTTTTTGTACTTAATTGGTGTTTTGTGCTGCAAACAATTTTGCGGAGTTCTGTGTCTATGAGGCTCCGCTCACGCGGAGCATCATAGTTCTAGGAGTAGGCACCGAGCAGTTCGCCCCCACCACTACCTGCTTGCTATTAGAAACGAGGTTGCAAATAAAGTAAGCACTGGGGACGAGGTTGGTGTGAGTCCAGTCCGTCAGGAGGAGGTTGCAGGACGTCGAGATCTGGGGCCAGATTTTACCTCAAATTTCGTTCAAATGCAAGATTTTGCAGTGACCTATAGTGACCTATTAGCCATCAGAAAGTGATAATATGTCCTAAAAAGTCAAATTTTGCAGAGAAAATATTGAAACTTGTAGGCCTATTTACTGAGAAAACACTTAAATTTTTTAGACCAGTCTCATACGGTTGGTGCACAGGGTGACAAGTGATGGCCAGATATGGGAATCTTTCCGACTGACCTTCACATTGAGATGATGAAGAAAAAAGTGGCGTCAGGTTGCAACATTTTTTCCAAGTGACTTTTGCAGATGACTGTCCAGTACCAAAGTGACTTTTGCAGGCTAAAGCAGTCTTTTTTCTTCAGATGAACTCATTTGTTGTAACTTTGATAGCACTTTCAAAGAAAATGTGACTTTCCTACCTTTTTTTTCAGTCAGACGTGAGACGTGCACATTGTAATTCTCACAACACAAGTGAAAGCCCGACACAATGAAAGTCTGATGCTGATTGGCTGCTAAAAAAATTAATAAAATAATTTTTTTTTTATGAGCCAATCAGCATCGAGCTTTCATTGCATCTACCTTTCACGTTTGCCATCTTGGTTTATGCGTCTGTTTTCTGGTTGTCGTCGTTGTCTTTTACCCCGTAATTGTGACATGTTTTAAATAAGCCCACTAACGATAGGTGAGTTTTCGCTTGTAATTTGGAAATTGAACATATCTGCAAAAAAAGTGAAAACCTCTTTCTGAGTCGGGGAAGTCGTTCAAGCGTTACTGGCAAATCTCCTCATGTCATAAGCCTAGAACGCTGGAAATTTCAAGCTAACTCATCCTCAATCCTCCAAAATCAACCGGTACTGAGTGTCCATGTGCCCTCAGTCCTCCACAATCCTCCAAAATTGTATGTTGCGTTCGGAAAGAATGTTGCAACCTGACGCTGCTTCAGCGGTTGTGTACAAAGTCTATGGAGAGTCAAGAATATTTTCTAAGTATTTCCTAACAAAATTGAAAATGTTTCTCAGTCGTCTTATCATCATTTCGGCAATGGCTGACCTTCATTGATCTATACATGTATGAAGAAAAAAGCAGCATCAGGTTGCAACATTCTTTCCTTGCATTCATCCTCAATCCTCCAAATGCCCGGAGGACTTTGGAGGATGGTTTAGGGTTAATGTAAATGCAAAACATATCATAAAAAAAACCAGCACTCATTTGATCTTGTTTTTGGTTTACATTTGTAGTTACAAGGGATTTGAGAGCGGAACCCCCACTGAAACTTGTTCTGAAAGTTGGAGGCAAGTCACAAGACCCAAAAGCTGGGAAGTTTGACATATGCGTGAGTAAGCCAGAGGTCAGCTCGCGTCATGTGACCCCGGACGACCACCGAGATCACGTGACCAAGTCCGAGTCCCACCAGAAGAAGAAGAAGAAGAAGAGGAAGTGGCATGAGGTTCAGAACGATAACTCAGAGCAAGAGAAGGATGCGGTGGAGATGGAGAGCAGTCAGGAGGAGCAGCCCATGGAGACGGACGAACAAGAAGAGGACTACAAACTCAAACAGTTGCTGACTAGCAAGAAAAAAGTGAGTGTTGTGTCTGTTAGTGTTACATGACATAAATTGCCATTCATAAATGCCTTGGACAGTTTACACATTCCTATTGGTCGAGAGCCCATCACGTGGCCGGTTTTAAACGGTTGATAAAGACCGGCTGGGAGGTCTAAAACACTTTTCCAGTGTCACATGAAATTTTGACTCCTTTGAAATCCAGTGCCTTTAGTTACCATTTTATTGGTTGAACGTTCACAATGCACACGTACATGTAGGTATGCGCAATACTGCCAGTGAGTCAGTATTTCAAAGTCCTAAATTCACAGTACACCGGCACAGCTGCGTATTGCGCTACATCGCGCATTACGAGCGGCGCACGGGCCAATCACTAGTTGTTTACAACACGGACACTACATGTACCATGATATAGCTACAGGGTTGTTTCGAAAATCAAAAGGGGAAAAGTGTTGAAAAACAGTTGTTGGAAATTTATACTTTTTGACTTGTTTTAACTTTTGGACCGAAAAGTTTAGATTTTAATGATGAAGTAAATTGGTGTTCACAAAAGCTTTGGTTTCTCACCCAAAAAGTCCTCCAAAAAGCAGCGCTACCACGAAGACGATTCTTCTGAAAGGGCTGAGGAAACACTGGAGCAGAGCTCGGTGGCCAGTGATAGGACGACTCAAGACCAAGGCATAGAGTCACAGACACAGACACCAAGCTTCAGAGAGAAAGAAAACATTGGTAAGATCATAGCTGTAGGGAAGCCGATCACATGTAAAACACCAATCAATCACAAGTTCATAGTAGGTCAATCTTAAATCACTCACAAGTCGCAGCACAAGTCAATCTCAAGTTAAACTGGATATTTGCGTTTGTTGAATTACAAAGCCGAGTGTTCGGGCTGGCATCTATTTCATAAACTTTGCCACAATAATCAACTGAAAATCTTAAACATTTTTCAACCTGCTGCTAGAGGGCACTCTAACCTTTTATGACGTCACCGGTAGTTTATTACTAAAGTACAACCTTGCCAGAGACTAACATCGTTGAAAGCAAGTTCACATCTTTTCCACTTTCAAATTATAAGGCACTTCTGGTTTGGACCGGAAGGAGGGGGCACATGATTTTGCACATAATATCGAAAATGAAGATCCTGGATCATTTGATCAATTCCCTCAAAAGTCAAGTTCAGGTCTCTCACGGTTGATTTTATATTGACTTTTCAAAGATTAAATTTAGAAATCTTTGGTTGCTTGTAATTTGACACCCAATGACGTCATCATGTTGTCAGAGTATTATGCACCACTTTGATGTGGGTTGATATATGTTGAAAGTTACAAGTTCATACCATTAAATGGTTTGAGAAAACCTGTGGAGACGTACATGTGCCGGTATTGTCCGGAAAAGCTAATTCCTGGCCCGTTTGGTATTTCATAACATTATTTTCTTGAATGCATGATTCTTGATTTTTGCAGAGGCAATGAAAGGCCCGTTGAAGAAACTTCTTGAATGTCTCCAAAAGACTATACAAAGGTAAGACACCAACTTTTATAGCATCCTAAATTCAGCTTAGACTATGTGCACAACAGAACTGGCACTGTGAATATCAATAACAGTTTTGACCTGATGGATCTTGCTACACTGGGCAGGCTTGTTACATAGACAAGTGTTGCATGTTGCTGCATTTGGCAAGGTTTCTAGCCAAAATAGGGTTAATGTCGTGTTAGAAATAAGTAACTTTGTTGGGTTTTTTTCCATGTAGGAAAGATGTGGATCAGTTCTTTGCCTGGCCTGTCAATGATGTCATCGCACCAGGCTATTCCAGTATCATTCTGCACCCGATGGACTTCAGCACTATGAAAAGGAAAATAGATGTCAGTGAATATACAAGCATTGAGGAATATAAGGTATGAGTGTACAGTAGAATATTGCTGTAAGGAACATAGTAGGATCCACGAACAATAGTATACAAATATTGAACATAGTAGGATCCACGAACGATAGTTTGATATAGGCCTACATGTAGTGGTTGTTTGTTACAGTGATTTCAATTCCTGGTATTATTGTGCATAAAAATTTGGGATCCATATGGAGTACCGAAGTGCGACGTCATTTAGAACCAGAAAGTGTAGTGCAAACGAATGGAGTACGCGCCCCTGTTGGTTCAGGGGCTGAATCATGCGCTAATGTCTTTCACACACATTTTGTGCATGTGACGTATTCACTTTGGTACTCCATAGGGGAAGTTTGTTAGAGCCAAATGCTCCGACTGTATTTGAACATGACAGCTTTTGAAAAGGACGGGGTGGGGATATTGTGCCCCAAAGGCGTCAACACAAATATAGACGGTTTGCAAACAAAACTCTGGTGAATTCCTTCAAAACAACACACAGACAGCAAAAAGTCTACCTCATCAACAGAACATTTTGTAGTAGGGGAACTGAGGGACTTTGAGGATGGGGATGCAGAGAGATGTAATGGAAACTGACCTTTTTAAATAGTGCCCCCATTTTACCAAATTTAGTTAGTCCACATTCTGTTTGCAATCGGTTTGTAATGCCCGACGGCTATAAATTGTTCCATTTCGTCTAAAGTAGTCAGGGAACCAGGCAACTGTCAGGGAACCAGACTACAAGAACAGCATTTTTTTCTTTGTTTTTCCAGCACCTATGAACACAAAACTTTAAACCGGTCAGCGTAACAATATTTACTACAAAATAATAACCGCCAAATCCATTCATTCCTGGAAATTACAACAAAAGCAAATGTTGTATATTACCCTTAACCCTAACCACCCCAACTCCATCAAAATCCATCCCGTCATTTTGGGGAATTGGTCCAGAAGGCCTGGTGTGACTAAATATTGATGGAGTATGATGGACTTGGGCCTAATGGCCCGAAGCAGTGCTAGGGGTATCCGATCGATTTTGCCTAGCTTCCTGTACTGCTATTGTGATAAAAGCCATGTGTAGCAAGTCCATGAATGTCAACCAGTGTGTCAATGGTGGATTCCATAATGTCAAATACAGTTTTGTATTGGACGCACAGTGATTGATGGATTTTGATGGACTTGGTCCAGTTCCTAGTAAAAGACGCTAGGGAGTTAGGGTTAAGGCCAGCCCTTGGGAACGTTTCGCAGGGCCTTGGGATTTGTTCCATATTGAAGTACACACGAAAGTATGGATTGCACATGCCCAGAATTTAAATTTCAGCACTTCATGAGCCACATGCATGTAAAAAAAGAAGGTCTTTGCTGGTATTTTGATACACAATATTGAGATCTTGGGAAGTCTTGGGAATTTTTCTACGGTCATCTCGGATTTTTCAAATTTGATGAGTGGCCATGCTGTTAATAACCCTGAGTCTACGTCTCTCATTTCAGTCGGATTTCTTGCTGATGTGTGAGAATGCGACCATATACAACCGGCCAGAGACCATCTACTACAAAGCTGCCAAGAGATTGCAAGCTGTGGGTCTCAAGTGCATGAACAAGGTACGTTACAAGTTGCTTAAAGGTTGTTTTGTGTGCAATTATGGGTTCTGTACAGGAGCTAGAGAGAATGTCGGGCAACCAAACTTTACAAGGGCGATGTCGTTTCACCGGTTCACATGCACTTTTCGTGTGTTTATGTTTAGGAATGGATGCTTACCAGGGAAACTGATATGGAGGGTTTTTGCTTTTTGAAATGGCAATGATATATGTGTCTTTTAATAATGTGGTATTCGATTACTCGAATCTGTGTTTGACCGAATATTCGGATATTCGAAACTGCCAGCTGCAACTGCGTGTCGCGCCGGTCAAAAGTTACATGCAGAGTGCGCAATTTAAATTTGTGAGTGGCGATCCATATGTAAGTGTTTTTTCATAATTGTCAAGGGCTTTACCTGCCAAAAGGATAGAAAACAATGAACCACCGTCAACAAACAAGCTACCGTCGACAAAAAAAGTGGCACCTGACGATGAAACGCCGCAAATTTAGTATAAAGTAGCATCACAGTCGTGTACGTGTGTATGTGCATAATTTTTTTGCTTTGGAATATTTAAAGCAGCAAAAAGCTATTCGAATAATCGTTTGATGATTGAATATATGGTATATGACTGGAAATTAACAACATGCATGAAAAGCAAACGATGCCTTTAATTCTTCATGCTACACTTATTTCAAGAAATCAGCTAATATGTGCTAGTGTCATACTTTTGAACTAATAGATTATAGTTCTCGATTTGAGACAACCTTTTTTATGTAAAATGAGATTTGAAGGTTTGCATGGTGGAAAGATACTAAGACAAGATAAGTTTGCAGTAGCACCATGTGAATATCTCTTTTGTGAGTATGTTTCAGAACCACACATACTCACAAAAGAGATATTCACATGGTGCTACCGCAAACTTATCTTGTCTGTTTTATGTAAAAAAAAACTAAATTAAAAATGATTGTCCATATTTCAACGAAAGAAATCGTTTTTTTTTCTCTGTGTCTAGGAGAAAGTATCCATCTTGAAGCGTACATTTGGTTACCACGATGGCAGTGATATCAGCAAGTCTCGGACTAAGGCCAGTAAGAGATTGCCACAGAGTGACGTGGATGCGTCCACTGAAGACTCTAGTATGATGGATGTACTAGATTCGGAGGACAGTAACATACCACCAACAATCGGGTATGTTCTCGGTTCATACTTTAATATTTAGATTCCATAGATTCATGGAAAAAGTCGTGTGTTTGATTTACAGTTCAACCCCTTCTGCATGAGTTCAAATTATATTATTTTGACAGTAATGAAGTTTTCTTCTGGTGATTTAATGCTCACAGCAATATGTAAAACCCTTTAAAACCCTGCAGGTCAGTTTCAGGTGAAGGGATATGAAGTGTTACAGTAACTCTGTCACACAGAGAGTCACTGAAGTGCCTGCTTGCCTTGAGTTTAACACACTAAAGAATTGTGCAGAGATTCGAGCTGTTATCCATACTCCACAGAAGATTGCCTGAAAGGAATTTTGGATTGTGGGTACTTACCTGTGGGCATTTGGTGGTTTTACAAAACTTTAAGGGTTGTGAAGTGCAGAAGACTAGGAGGTTTAACCCTCCTGCTATCTGAGCAGTCACAGACAGTCAAAAAATAAATCCTCTTCCCTTGCCATGCCTTTTACACAGGCTAGTCACCAACAGCTAGTCAAATCATATTTCAAGCAAGCACTTTGACTAGTCAAATTCAGTCAACAGACAAAAGCAGACACATGGTAGGCACAGCTGGCTTATCAATCACCTACAATCAAAGCATAGCTGTATCAAGTTACATAAACAGTCACAGCCAGTCAATCCTGCTTTATGTAGGCTGGGAGCTCTTAACCCTTTCCTTACCATGGGTGACTTTTGTCGACAAGAAGAACCCCCCCTGCTGGTTCCCATGGGCGACTTTAGTCGACCAGGAAACCACACACAGAACATCCTCAACACAGATTATTTACTACTTTTCAGAAAGGCGGCATGTTGATATGTTTGGCCGCCCATACATTAACCATATACCAGCTGAACGAGTGTTTTCGGATCGTTCTAATGGTGTAGTTTATTCATAGTGTTATCATTACAAAAAAAATGAGAAAAGTGCTTCAGAAGTATCCACGCACAAATTGAGGTATGGAGTGCCATTTGGCCATGTGGTGAAATGGCTTGCAGTTTGATAAATGGAACCAGATGAACAAAACGGCATAACTTTCTTATATTTGCACATATGGACTTCATTTTTACATCACATAAAAGAGTAAGGTTCAAGGAACAAACTTTACACACAACACCTATGATTTAAATCACTCCTTGGCAGTGAAAATCTGGGTTGAAAAAAGTGAGTTTTTGACTTGTGGTCATTTTTTTCACACTCTAGTGATTTCCGCATGACTGAGCAAACAATTTGGTCCTGGGGAGAGCCAAGTCAATAAACAATGTGGTAATGAAAGGGTTAACTGTTGAAAACAGTCACTTAATTAATTTTGACTGAAAGGGAAACTTGGCACATAATGTGTGTTTGCATAGGAGGGTCAATGAAATTATTGTTAGTATTCAGTCCTTGTTATTCACAAAGGTCCGCAAGTGTCGCCGATGGCATTGAGGAAGAATCCCCGGAAGAGATCATTGAGCAAGCACTGCAAGCTGCCAAAGATGCAAGGGATCGTCTGTCAGCCAGGTGCCCCAACTCAAAGGTATGGCCATGAATAGGTTCAAGTCCGCCCAAATCAGAGGTAACGGGGACAAGAAAAATGTCACACTTTGGACCTTAACCCCTTAAGCACGGGTTGTAATGGGGACATTCCTCCACACATAGAGCAAGTGGCCCGCATGACTGCACAGCCTTTGTGTGGTAGCGGGACTGCACAAAAGCAGCAGCTGTGTAACTACCCACTAGCCATGTGCCACGGCATACCACAGCTGGCAACTGCATTCCAATGAGGACTAGCGGCCGCGGCCATGACCGCTTCCCGAGCTCATGGGGTTAAAGGTACTTAGGATCATTTCTGTTTTGTGCATTTTTTTCATTTGAAGCAACAAATGAGCTCAAAATCTTAAGTTAACAAGTTGTTAATTTCAGCTCAGTGGATACTATACATTGCTATACGTTTGGAGAAGACAGAGAAAACGTATGCAACATTTTTGGGGTCTTGGCACATTTTCTTAAACCACTTTTTTTCTCTAAATGATAGAATTTCAGGCAGAATAATAGGGTATTTCTATCTTCTCTATGAGCAAGGATTTCTGCCCTAACCCTCACCCCCCTAGGCCCTTTTGGCTAGGAACCATCCTCAATCCTGCAAAATCCTCAAATTACCACAATGTAAAAATGAGATTCAGCCTGAATCCTCCAAAATCTTCCGTTATTTCTTGAATTTGTTCAGTGGAGGGGTGACCATTGCCTCAATCCTTCAACGATCACTGTTTATAGGTTTAGGCAGTGCCGATGACATTAAGAAGTAGTGCAGATGATATGGAGCATTAGCAGGGCTGAACTATGCATGATTGAACACATGTCGGGGAACCAGAATAAAAGAACATGATTGGTTTTCTTGGTTTTTCCAGCATTTACAAGCCCAAAACGTGAAACAAGTCAGTTTAACAATACTTGCCATAACATACTAATCTTCCAAATCCATTTACTTCTGAAAATTGCAGCAGAAGCAAATGTTTTACATTCCCTTAACACACCTGTTACAATGATCTCCCAGCTTGGCTTTCTGAGGCGAGACAAGACGGGGACCACCACCCTGGCCATCTTGAATCCCAGCCAGTCCGGAGCGGAGGAGAACAAGCAGGTCAACCTTGGGATGTTGACGGGCAGGCTGGCCCAGGGAACGGGCTCGCTACCGGGCTTCAGAGAGGATAAACGCAACAAAGCCATCCCAGGTAAAAGACTCCATCCCCATTTATTTTTGTATTTTTGTATTTTTTTTGGTTTTTCCATATCCAACATGTCCAACATCTGCATTTAAAAATAATACAGTTACAGTGATTTTGATGAATACAGAAGATTTCGTTCCAACCTTTTGATACCATTGTCTTGAGTAGTGTTTCTGTTCCCGTATCTACCTTCAAACTGTGAATATACAAACCTCTTCCATGTAGGAGTGTTGGTCTTCACCAGCAATGGACCGTTCCGCCCCATAAGCACCGCCCCATGGTGTTCTGACCAATCACAGCCGTGATTTACGTCCGATGCGCGTGCACGAAAGTCCGACATGCGTGCACGTGCGTATGATGCGCGCGGCAGGAAAATGCAGCGTGGCATTGGAGAGGAGCACGTGTTAATTTGCCCAGTGCGCAGTGGGCGGGGCTTACTGGATCGGTCCATTCTTTCGCTACTAACTTTACTGTACTAGTGGTGGGAGAAATCAGAGATTTCAAAATCCGGTTATCCTAATTTTTCTTCAAATCCAAGTTCCCCTCCAGCTCACTGTTGTGCCAACAAAAAGTGTCAAATGAGGTGCCACAGGAAATGCCCTCCGTATGACTATGTATAATTTGCAGGATTCAGTGACCACTGGGCCTTGACAAAAACACTCCACTGCTGGAATGTTGAGAAAAAAAAGGATGGGAACTCTCTGATAAGTCGAATGGACAGGCTATCCATATACCAAGAAGACCACTAGCAAGTAAATGCAGTTTTACACAATCAGAGACCATGGAGCAAATGGGGGATGTTCCAGTTGTTTTCTTAGCCTGTGTCACAAAAAATGGAAGGCTTTAATTTTTGTAAGGTTGGTTTTGACTTTTCAGTTTCCAAAATCCAAACCAAATAGTGGCATTCAAACCGAATTTTAAAAAATGCGAATTTAAATCCCACCACTTTACTATACCTTATACATATTGATGAGTGACAGCTGAATTCTGACTGGTCCATTCATCATCACGTGTCAACCGCTAGCTTTGCTATTTACCAAGCATGCACGTGAGGATTCACGTGCAGGGTTAATAAGCATGCTCATTGCTCAGTCGACCATGGGTTGCCTGTGCCATAGTCTACTATGCATGCTCTTTACCAAGCAGTCGTTGAATATTGCAGAGGGTAGCGCACACCCGCGAACATACCTCAGCTACATGAAAAGATGGCAAGACACACGCAGCAACATTTTGCCAAGATAACTGATGTGTAGTGGTGAGTGTGGCTTAGTGGTTTGAGTTCGCGACTCATGATCAGAGGGTCAGGGGTTCGAATCCAGCTGCTGGCCATATGTTGTGTCCTTGGGCAAGCCACTTCTCCCCCACTTGCCTCTCTCCACCCAGGAGATAAATGGCTACCGGCATTAGCTGCGGAGTAACCTTCGATTGACAAGCATCCCGGCCAGGGGGAATAGAAATAGTCTCAGTCGTTTCATGCTACTGAAACCGGAGATAATTACGCTGGCCTGATGGGCTACATTGGCTCATGACAGACTTCACTTTTGTTTTTACTGATACGTAACTCAACAAATTTGGTGAATATGTACATGTATGAGGTATAGTAGAACAAATATAACATGCTTCACTTTGGTGGATAGTTGATATAAGGCTCCCTCGCTATTGGACATTGACAAACTAGTTCCCTTGGGGAGTGAAAATTGACTATCCACCTTCAAACCGTGTTATATTTGTATACTATTTCACCTAGATTAAGTTAATAATCAAACAGGATTTTCTTCAAAGTTTCAAATCTTGACTTGACTGAACGGATAGATTGATTTCTCTCATATAGTAACCTACATGGCGCACGGACCGTTCAGCTCATATGGCCCCCAGTACGACTCCTCCTTTGCCAACATCAGCAAAGAGGATTCCGATTTGTTGTATTCAACCTACGGGGATGATGCTGGTGTACAATATGCGCAGAGGTGGGTAATGGCTCAGCTTTAAAACTGGGGGCAAAGTTTATTAACGCTGCTTAACACGAACAGGCAACAAAGAGTAGACACATTTTTGCTTGGTGAAAAAAAGAAATGTGTCACCTTAGCCCATGCACCCGATTTCATGAAACTCATCATAACTTACGTAATAAAGTCTCGTTTATTTAATTTTTATGGCATATAATTGGCAAAGAAAAAAATGCTTCTTATTTTGTGATGACCAAAAGACACGCCATAACTTGCAACGTGTTTTGAAACGTTGTCAAGGAACTTACAACGCGTTCAACACATCCTAAGTTTTGTGAAATGGATCATGCAACGCATTGCAAGTTGCATCTCGAGTTGTGAGACAGCGCTTTGTGAAATCGGGTGCGGGTATCCTTTCGCCTACGTGTACTTACCGTGTACTCTGTTGACATCCAGAAAATAAGTTACCGATACATGAGGAAAAAATGATTGCGGAGAAATTTCTCAAAACTTAACAGCTGAAACATAGCAGTAGGTATGCCAGCTGAAACATAGCAGTATACAGGGGGGGGGGGGGGGGGGTCAACAAAAGCGGAACCCAAAGCCCAAAAATTATATTTCATATTTAAAAAAATATGTAGCACCAGAAATAAAAATGACTGGAAAGCCAATTTCATAAGCCACTTTTAGATGAAAAAAAATTACTGAAATTACTGAAAATTTTCACAATTGCTAATGTGCAACCTTTGAAATTTCTTTATGAACTTTTGTCTGACGTAATCTGGGTTAACTTCCAGATTTGATTTCCCCCCAATCACAAAATTTGTCCACAAGGTCAGTTTTTGATCTTCTGGCCTGCTTGACATGCTTGAGCTTGATTAAAACTTACTGTAAACAGATCTTTTCTGGGGTTTTTCTTTTCAGTATAAGGGAGTATGTTGAAGACTGTGACGACTATGTCATGAAGCTTGTTGATAACCTTCTAGATACATTGACTAAAGGCCAACATTCAAAAACAGTGGCTACATTAAAAGTAAGTCTACATCTACATCATGTATTTTACTGAGTTATGTTAACAGTGTGGGTTCATAAAAAAACCTCTTAGATATAAACCGTAAAAAATCATACAGTCTTAGTTGACTGTAGTGAAGTGAATACCATTTGACAGTGGCTACAGTTAAGTGTCAGCATTTTCTCATGATGAACTGCATGTGAAACAGTTTTTTACCCCTCAGCCGAGAGGCTCGAGGGGTATTGCTATCGCCTAGGGCGTCCGTCCGTCTGGATGTATGTGTGTCTGTCCGTCCGTCCGTCCGTCCGGGCAGCTTAGTTTCCGGATGATAACTTGAGTTACAAATGTTGTTTGGGGTTGTAACTTCGGTAGGGGGTTGCTCTTGGGAGTAGGCAAGTTGGGATTGGTTTTGAGGTCAAAAGGTCAAAGGTCAAGGTCAGCATGGTGAGATAAAGGTAAATGGTTTCCGGATGATAACTTGAGTTAGAAATGCGATTTTGGTGTCTAACTTTGGAAGAGGGTTGCCCTTGGGAGAAGGCAAGTTGGGATTGGTTTTGGGGTCAAAAGGTCAAAGGTCAAGGTCAGCATGGTGAGATAAAGGTAAATGGTTTCCGGATGATAACTTGAGTTAGAAATGAGATTTTGGTGTCTAACTTTGATAGGGGGTTGCCCTTGGGAGTAGGCAAGTTGGGATTGGTTTTGGGGTCAAAAGGTCAAAGGTCAAGGTCACCGTGGTGAGTTAAATGTAAATGGTTTCAGGATGATAACTTGAGTTAGAAATGAGATTTTGGTGTCTAACTTTGGTAGAGGGTTGCCCTTGGGAGTAGGCAAGTTGGGATTGGTTTTGGGGTCAAAAGGTCAAAGGTCAAGGTCACCATTGTGAATTAAAGGTAAATGGTTTCCGGATGATAACTTGAGTTAGAAATGCGATTTTGGTGTCTAACTTTGGAAGAGGGTTCCCCTTGGGAGAAGGGAAGTTGGGATTGGTTTTGGGGTCAAAAGGTCAAAGGTCAAGGTCAGCATGGTGAGATAAAGGTAAATGGTTTCCGGATGATAACTTGACTCTGGCTGAGGGGTTTCAACAGCAACGCTGTTATTTTATTTTCTGCAATTTGCAGCTTGTCCACATTGTTCTATAAACAAGGATTTTAGGAAGAGCTACAATCGTTTGCACGAAATGACCAAGTACTTTAATTGTACACATAGGCCAGCTCACGCATGTTTATGTTACATACCTAGTGTGGACATACTCTTGGTTTCGTGTAGTTAAAAAAAACCAGTGAAAAAACTCATTTTTCTCAAACTGTGAAAACTCTTTCAACCCTTTTTTTTTTATGATTCCCTTTAGTGTTTCTCTTCATTTTGCCACAGATAAACCTAACCCAAAACTGCCTCTAAACCTGTTTTCCAGAAATGAGGAAACACTGTGTGGACTTGCCCAAGTCCACACAACGTCACCTCTACCTGGTTTATGTGGACCTCTTCAGAAGTCCACACAGTGAATGTAATGCGTACCCAAGGGCTTCAGCTAGGTTTGAGGAAATCTCAAAGTGAAGAATGCTGATAATGTTTTTATTGTCAGTGAAAGGCAAATCCTAGTTTATTAAGTTTCATTTTTCATGTATGTGTATTTCATACAATGTCAATTGTCAATACAGATACATGTACAAGAACTTCAAATATAGTGTGGAGTCGAACAATACACTGAAGGTTGTACACATGTACCTGAACGTTGTAAATTTGTGCAAAAAGTTTCTCAAGCATTCCCAAAGTTCAAAAGTTTTTGATCGACTTAAAGGGAATATACATCATTGGCTTTTGCTGTAATTTTCAGAAATGAACTATTTGAGGGCTTAGTATAAGAGATCAAATATTGTTACACTGACATGTTTGAAGTTTTGTGTTCGAAAATTCTGGAAAAACCAAGAAAAACAAAACTGTTCAAAATTTAAAATGGATCAGTTTACAGATGCCGGAAAATTGTAAGGAAAGGGTACCAGTCTAGCTGGCCTGCACCCGTTCATGAACATGTAACCAATAGCAAACACAATTTGGACTGAATTAATGGTAAATTTGGAGCAGTAGTTGAAAAATAGTTAGGTTTTTCCAACGGTGGTCGGCTGACCACCGCTGGAAATTTTTACAAAAATACCATTTTCTTGAAAATGACTTCACACCAGGTGCCATAATTTTACAGGATGCTTTAGACTGTCAATTACCAACATCCTAGTAAGGTATTTCGTAAAAAACTTGGTAGTTTTATTTTTCGATATTTGCAAATGTTGTATATTCCCTTTAAAACAATAGAAGAATAGCGACAAGGACTCGGAGAAAGGCAACTCTGCGGACGGCACCAGTCACCCAGGCGTCAGTGCGAGCGAGTCGGCTGGTTCTCAAGATGCAATCAAGAAGGAAGAAGGAGAGGATGCCACCGTACCCGCCATCCAGTTTGACTCTCTCCGGACGCTCTCTGAGCTGGGCATTGACGTGTCGTTTCTCCCAGCATTTGGTGAGTTCTTTTGTGCGAATCGCAGTAGCGAGTCACTCACGGGGCTCAAAATGTCAGGTTTAGACCCCTTGTACCGTGGCATTTTTGTAAGTTCAAGAAAATCAAAAAGGCCTACCATGTCTGAAATCAAGCCTGGTCAGATCGCACAGAGGTCGGCAAGGCATACCATGTGTTCAAACTAACATCAGCTCATACATTGCTGGAGATTTTTTCGATTTCTTATATACAGGCATGCAACTTTTCCTCAGATCAGCTGATTTCCTTTTTTTTTACTTCCCATGTGTGCCATTGAAAATAGAAAAACACTGTACAAAGTCTGGGGAAAATTTGAATTTCCTCTTTTTTTGTGATTTCCCAGTTGCATGCCTGTTATATATGACGTGAAGCTTTGCATGGCAGATGAGTTAAAAATTAAAAAGTTTGCGGATAACACCATGTGGAAAGAACTATCTTCTTGAAAGAAATGTGGCTCTGAAAAGAACCGGTTGGTTGAGTGTAGAACTCGATGTTTCGGACAATGTGACCTAATTATGTCTTACCATTTCCGAGAAAAGCTGAAAAAAAACTGGTTGTTTACATCGGACGCGGCTGACATTTTGTGGCATACATATACCTATTTCCTGCCGTCTCCATTCAATGTACGGTACTCTTGTGTGTGTGACACATAATACACTCGGCACCAATACACAAACATTGTTTCTGGCACGTCCGCAAAATGCAATGCACTGGCGGAACATGTGTGTCAGGATTCCAGACTAGCACCCAACACCTCGATTTATGAGAGTTAACATTTTGACCCCAGAAATTTGTTCTCGCAAGAATAACACAAAAATGCCCAGTTTTTAAAGGATGGTTATGTGGATGTTTAAAAGTATCCTACTTGTAAATGCTCTTTCCAATTAACACAGTTTCATTTAAAATGCGTTTTGTTGCCCAATTGGGCGCATTTCAGGACGTAATGTCCCTTTAATTCTTGTGAGAAGGGTTCCTGAAATGTCAGGGTTCAACCTGGGTCCAACGCACAGATACTTGAAAAGTGTGAAAAGGGCCTTAAATAGGCAGTGATTTGTTAATGCCTATCACAAAGACACAAAGACAGACCCTCAGATGTGACATCAGATGCAAGGCCCCAATTCTTAACACTTAAAATTTATTTTAAATTTCAACATAAAAAACAGAGAAACTCATGGGCAGCGACGCGGACGCAGCGGCCGCAAACGACTCGGCCGAAATTGACAGTAAACTGAAGAGCACCAGTGATTTGATCGGTGACCTGGAGAAGACACAGTCAGCGAGGCTAAGCCAGAAGACTCCAAACCATCTGCAGTTCATCCCCAAACCCTCCGAGCAAGAGAGTAGCATCGCTGAGAAACTGACCCAGCAGTTACTGCAGCTCACTGCAAAGGTAGCGTTTTCAGGACGGGGCTTTTGTCTTTGCTTATTTATTTTTTTTTTAATAAATAAACTTTCCGGATGCAGTTACATTTACAGCGTCGTAGTTGAGTCCATCACAAGTCCGCAAAATGGTGGGTTGAGTTAATTTCAATGACTGTTTTGTAACTGAACAGAAATCATGCACAAAAGCTGGCGTAATAGCTGTTACTATCCTCGTCCAAGATGTTAAAACTATTTAAAACATGTCACATCTCAGCCAAGTTTCCTGAAATTAATCGTTAAGTTTATTGCGCCGCGCACCTGCATGTGCAGCAGATTTGTTGCGTGAATCCTAGGCATAGCGTAAGTTTCACACTTTTTCGTGGAATTGGCTGTAAGGGTATTTAAAAAAAGGACAGACTTCAACGCTGTCTGCCACAGTACTAGTATCACCACACTATGAAGTATTTGAATCCATTTTTTAACTTCTTGTATCTATGGTTACGCTCGACAAACAATTTCTTGTCTTGATTTTTGCTACTAGATCAAACCTTCGGATATAGTGTCGGCCGGAGCAGCCCAGACCGCCATGGGCATCACGCCCGACGTCCATGCCGAATTAGTTGATGAAGTACAGGTACTAGACAAGGTTGAATCACCTTCATCATCCTCCGCTGTACAGGAGAATCTTGTCGCATGATAACAGTACAGTGGTGCGTTGCCGGCTGAAATTGAAACTACTCAAGACTGTCAAATGTAAATAGCGCCCTCATTAGACAACATCTTACAGGAGGAAAGGCCGGTTCACTGTAACTGGTAGCCACCACCCTATTAAGCTGTGCTGGTGACCGATGATTTCTCAGTTAAACCTGTTCTACATTGCAGGGCTGTCAACTTTGAGTAAGAGCTGAGAGTGAGAATTTGGCGATAGAGCTTGATCAGAAGTAATCATGCTAATGCAAGTGCGAAGCCCTAACGGCGTGGGTTCGGGGCCCGCTAAAAGGCCCCGAAAATTTTTGGATTCTAGATGCTCTGAGGTGCGATCTGAGGCAATTTCTGACCACTTTTACCAATTCTTTTGAGCAAAAGATCATCATTTAAAGGGAAAATACAACATCTGCAAACATCGAAAAATAAAACTACCAAATCATTTTGAAATACCTTGCTGGACTGTTAGTGAATGACAGTGTAAAGCATCCTGTAAAATCATGGCACCTGGTATACTGTCATTTTCAAGAAAAGTCATATTTTTGTATCAATTTCCAACGCTGGTCGGCCGACCAGCGTTGGAAAAAACATGGCTTCTTTTTCAAATACTGGCCCCAATTGACCATCGCACTTGTTTGCAATCGATTACACACCTATGAACGGGTACGAGCCAGCTAGACTGGTTCCCTGACCTTACAATTCCCCAATGTATGTAAACTGCTCTGTTTCTTCTTAAATGGAGTCAGGGAACCAGACTACAGGAAAATGATTGTTTTTCTTGGTTTTTATAGCATTTTCGAACCCAAAACCTCAAAAAAGTCAGTGTAACTATATTTGATATATATTTCCAACCCCCAATTCCATCCATTTCTGAAAATTACAGCAAAAGCAAATGATGTATATTCCCTTTAAAATATCGTTCTCAAGTTTTATTTATTATTTTTTTAGCGTGAGAAATCCTGTGTGCGCGCGAGAGCATGAGAAAAACCTGAAATGCGTGAGTCTCACGTTCAGTGCGTGAGAGTTGGCAGCCCTGACATTGTATTACATTCATTATTCCTATGAGTCCATAAAACCATAGGGTGCAGGTAGCGGTTTGTACAGGGAGTAACGTTTTGGGGCGGGACAGCTGGGGATCGACCATTACCAGTGACCATTCTTTTGTCATTGTTGTGTATTCATTGTTAAAGGGAATGTACAACATTTGCTTTTGCTGCAATTTTCAGAAATAAATGAATTTGGGGGATAAGTATGTTATAGCAAATATTGTTCAACTGACTTGTTTCACGTTTTGGGCTTGTAGATGCTGGAAAAAACATAGAAAACCAATCATGTTCTTGTAGTCTGGTGCCCTGACCCCACTTAAGATGAAACAGAGCAATTTGTAGAGTTTGGGGAATTGTAAGGTCAAAGAATCAGTCTAGCAGGCTTGTACCCCTTCACAGGTGTGTAATCAATTGCAAAGAAAATGCGGAATAGCTAAATATGAGAAACTAGGAGCAGTTTGTGAAAAAAGCCATTTTTTTCCAACGCTGGTCGGCCAACCAGCATTTGAAAAATACAGTTTTTCTTGAAAATGTCAGCACATCAGGAGCCACGATTTTACAGGATGCTTTAGACTGTCATTCCCTAACAATTCAGTAAGGTATTTCGTGATAATTTGATCATTTCGTTTTTTGATGTTTGCAAATGTTGTATCTTCCCTTTAAATTGTATTTACTCTGATTGAGACTGTCTGCAGACCTGGGCCCAATTTCATAGAGCTGCTTAAGCACAAAAACGTCTTGCTTAATAAAATCATGTTACCGGCCAAAGCTCCATGTGATTGTTATGCTAAGTAAACAACAGCTAAATACCAGTCACAAGCAATGTACATCATATGCAGTTTGGGCCGGTAACCTAATTTTACTAAGCAATGTTTTTTTCGTGCTTAAGCAAATTTTGTGCTTAAGCAGCTCTATGAAATGGGGCCCTGCAATGAGACAAAAGTGGCTCGTGGGCTTTGTATTTGCATGAGCTTTAAAGGGGCTGTTTTGCGTATTAATAATAGAGCAAGTGAAGGGCGCTTGTGTTTCACTGCTTCCCTCACACATAGGCCATCAGCCTGGGGGTTTGGTCGGTATCAAATCAGGGCATAAATGATTAAAGTGCGCATGCGCAAGGTATATCGCCCCTAGAGTGGTAACCAGCATTTTGATGGACATTTGAAAAAAAGGGTGATAACACCAAAAAAGCTGCCACCGCTGCAATGCCATCACATATTTTCCAACTCTGGAGGTGTATACCTTGCCAAAAATCGCTGTGACGATTATTCCCCTCATTTGATACCGGTTGCCAAAATTTTGGACCGAGGCTGATGGCCTAACACTGCTCATTTGTTTACATTTTGGAGTCGGTTTGGGCAAGGACCATTAGTCGACTAGTGGTTGATTTGTAACGTAACTCACGACGGCGCACTAATAGCAATGTGCGAATGTCTCTAGTCAAACGCTGGTCAATATGTCATCGCAAAACTTCTTGGTCCTGGCTCCCTGCTGTGCCTGTGCAGTATGATGCACAGCTATTGGTAACCAGCAATGCAACCGTGCCCTGTCGTCCGGTTCCGAATGACCCCAACCATCCTTCATTCAAGTGAAGTTAGCCTAACTATAGTCCTTGCTCAAACTTGCTAATGGATTTAGTGTGCATGTACTATGGAACAAGGTAGGCTGGTTCCCAACCCCTCTGTATATCCTACACGTTGTAGGGAGGGTTGGTAACCAGCCAATTAATGAGAGCTCTTAATTCACTGGTTCCTGGTGCACTTTTATCACATGTAGTCACTGCAATTACAACTTGTGGAAGAAGTCCATATGTCTCATTCTGTGGTTTGGCTCAGTGGCCACATAAGCAATTGTTTATTATGCAATTTCTAAACATATGGTCTTCATAAAATAATGGACTGATTTACATATTTTTTTTTGTAATGTTAATATCTTGTTTGCATTTGTTTAAAAAACCAACGTTTGCATTCAATAAACCAAGCTTCCATAGAAAACATTATGACATGCAGGGGTGATTTGTCCGGATTTTCCTAGCCTTGGTCAATGCTCTCGTCGTTATTCATCCCGGTCAATCGTCGGCATATATCCTCACGCGCTATGCACATGCATGTAAAAATACAGCGCGAACAGCGACCTCATGCGGCCACTATTTTTTTTATGCAAATCAGTTGGGGACGATCTCGAGCCTTGGTTCAATCGTCGGCAAAAGCTTATGTTTTTCTTTATTTTGCGCTGGATTTCTAGCGCACGACCACGTATGCGAATACAGATAAGTGTAGGCGGGGCTAATATGTGGAGTGTCCAATCACACCTTGGTAAATCCGGACGTCATCAAATTATTTGCAGCTATTCGCCTTTTGCGGACGTGACAGGAACCACAGTTTTTGTGCATTGGTGCCGTGTGCAGAGACACACAACGTGTACGTGTATGGATTATGTACGGTGCCACGTTTCACTATGCAAGTTTCCACGCAACGATCGACCAATAAGAAAATGACATTTAAGGTCAGCTAAGGCTATTAACATAATGAGCACCACCCCCAAAACCTCACATGGACGATTGAACCAAGGCTCTCGATCGACCCCAACTGATTTGCATATAAAAATAGTGGCCGCGTGAGGTCACTGTTCGCGCTGTATTTTTACATGCATGTGCATAGCGCGTGAGGATATACATGTATGCCGACGATTGACCGCGTACGGGACGAATAACGACGAGAGCATTGACCAAGGCTAGGATTTTCCTGATTTCATGATTTTTAAAGAATAGCTTTTGAAATTTGGTATTCATGAGATTTTACCATAAATTTTTTTTCACCTATAAAAGTTCATAAAGCAGAAAAGAAATGGGGATTTTAAGGTGTGCCTTTTAGGCAAATGCAAACCCTGTGCCGATTATTCCGTGGATGTTTCATTCTTTCTTTCCCCACATCTCGCCCCTGGACATGTACTGTGCTTTATTCTTCATAATGACAACTAGCATTGTAGAATGCAAGGGTTTATCTGTGACAGCATTAATATTTGTGAAGCGATCAAGCTAAATGAGTCGTTTGTCGGGAACTTTCATTTGGAGATACAGGCCAAAATAGGGCCACTTCATCACATCGCTTCATCACATCGCTTCATCACATCTCTTGGTGTTCCGATTTCCATATTTTTTAAACTAAAGATGGTATCAGCATTCAGTTTTCACAGCAGTAATCCTGAGATTATGCTCTTTTCAAATCTGTAAAAAAAAATTGACCAAGGTCGACAAATGGCTCATTTAGCTTGATCGCAGCTTCCATGACAGAAATAAATAGCATTTTGTAAACCGGCTTGTTGGGGAGTCACGTTGGCTCAGTGGCCGTCCACCTGTGCGACCTGGGATTCGAATCCCACCCAGCCAACACGTGGGTTGGGTGTTCAGTCCCTGCCTGATACCACAGGTTTTCCTGAAATATTCTCAGATTTCCCCCTCCCTCTCTCTCAATGTTTGAAACTTGCAGTCACATTGTTTGAAATGCAGTCACATCTGTACGCGATTTCAATAAATTTGTTGAACCACGGAACCGTAGTCAGAGTGTTTTTTAGCGTGTTTTTTTAGTGTTTTTTGCTAGCACTTTTCTTCAAAATAGTACAATGGATATACATGAAACTTTCACCAAATATGTCCAACATACCAGCCTATAACATCTCTCATTTCCACTTGTTCTAATAATTGCTAAACGTTTTTAATGTTACACCCCACATATTCTCGGTCAATAAAATTCGCAAATATTGTCAACATCTGGCATTAGTGTTTGTTTTAAAAAAAATTTCATGTTGTATTTGGAAAGAAAAAAAGACCAATTGATTATTCATGTGCATAGTCGCTACATCCGATTTCATCGTTCCATCCAGGTCAGCTGACCACTTTGGATTGCAAAGCATCGACTCGGGATATGAAACAAAAATTTCCAATAGTTTTATCGACCTCTGTTTTTAAAGTGGGGTTGGGAAAGTGGCACACGCGTATAAGTTATGGTATATGTATCAAATATCTATATATATTTGGTTTTTATTGATCTTAATTATAGAAACCAAACACATACTTTTGAGCCTTCCCCCCCCCACTATATCCCACCTCATTTGTCCACCTGCTACATACATTGTACAGCAGTGCGTTGCCAGGGTTATCTTCCTAGGTGGCGTTAGGGGGGGGGGGGGGGGCCTCCAATTTCATCCAGGCTGAATGTTATCAGTTTTTTTTTCATCAGATGCCTGGCCTTCATAGAATCAAAAAGTGGGGGTGGGGGGGGGGGGGGGGGTTGGACACCATCTTTCCGTGTGGGGTTCAAAACCGACATCATGGTCAATGTCAGACAATAGGTGGTGCTATTCCATTTCCATGGGATGTTAAGATAAACAGCCAATTGCGAAAAACAGGCTTTTCGCGATAAATAAACAGACAACGTGAAAAAAGAGGCATTTTATGTTAAAACTGCTAATCATGGTAACTTAATTGTAGGACTGTTATATGTTTTTTATTTTATCTGGTTGTCAAATTTCAAGTGGGGGCGGAGGGGGGACTGGGGGCCAAATATTTTTTTTTATGGGGGCATGCTGAATTAGTCCTCATGACCCAGTCGCTCGCAGCTTCGCAGCTCTAAGCCACGATATGGCTTTGGCGAAAGGCTACCCCCCCCCCCCCCGGCTCCTTAGCTACGCCGCTGACATTGTACAACCCCAGTCCGTGGCCCCCACTTCAGATGGCTCAATGTGTCAAAGTGTAAAAAACGAAAATTACACATCCCCCTAGTTCCCCATAAAAAAATTGAAAATATGGGGCCACATTAGCCCTGATTTTTTTTTTATTTGGGAAACATGCGCCCTGGATTTTCTCCATTAATTGAAGTGAAACAAATTTTACCGGTTACCATGTCAATGCACTTTCAATCAAAACAAAAATGTAAAAATGAATTGCAGTGTTTCCCCCTGCCCCCCCCCCCCCCCCTTTGGGTTTTCTGTCCTAGCAATTTTGTGTCCCGCGTAGTATGGGAAGATATCCCCCCCCCCCCCCCCCCCCCCCCTTTGGGTTTTCTGTCCTAGCAATTTTGTGTTCCGCGTAGTATGGGAAGATATCTCCGACTAGTGAAATGGAAAATAACTTTACAGTGAAATAAAAGAAAATTTTAAGTTGTAAAACCGATTGGAAAACATGAAATTATTTGAAACAGGAAGAAGAAACGCGCTATACATGCTATAATTATGCGCATCGGTCATTTAGTAAACCCCCCCCCTTCCGTGTTACCTCGTGTATCGTGGGAAACAAAATTCCAGCCACTCGGTCCAGTGCGTACGTATGAATCCAAACATACCGTATTGCATATCGGTTATGCTAAAAATAAGCAAGCGGCCGCCATCTTGGATGTTTTGCAGACATTGTGTTTGTGATGGAATTTCGGTAACGGTATGGTTGAATTCAAATGCTGAAAAATGAACATTCGATCTGAATCAAATTTATGTACGAAATAAATCTACAAAGTACTGTGAAATTTTTGCAACCACTTGATTCTTGCAACGAATTCTTAATTGATGGGAACAAAAGGTGCATCGTGAACGTGGAGTGACCGTCTTTTTTGACTGGCCTAGCCAAAACTGTGCAGCAGCATGCATGTGCTGCATGGCAGTGTTCGCGTCTGTGGAAAACATCAACCGCGCATGTCAATGTGTACATTTTCTTGCGTATGTCACGTCGACTGTGTGTAACTGAGATGGTGGGTACAGCAATGTAGAATATGTAAGTACTCATTCCTGAGCGTCATCTTGTGTCTCTTTAATTTGTTGAAATGGTTGAATTTATTTTGACTTTGACAAATGTTTGACATGTTTGACAAAATGTTTGAGATCAATTTCAAAGCATGGGCAAAAACTGTGAAGAACGAATGGACATGATTGAATGACACATAGATTTTATCATGTTAATTTTACTTCTTCTTTTCTTATTATACGTTAAATTTCAAATATTCCTTTTTTTGTTTTACAGTTTACATGATCTGATGATTACTTTAAGTTTTTATCTTTACTAACTTGTCTTTAGGCCTAACTGATTACTTTTTTATATCCTATTTTGAAGTGGTTCAACATGTTCAACGTGTTCAAGATAGGCTGTACAGTCTTTCCACAACAATGAACCCATGACTTTGTCAAAAATGTATAATAATAATAATAATAACACTGAATAATGAATGACAATGTGAATTATGATAAGTCAGGAAGGAAAGAATGTTACAACCTGATCTAGTCCGAGTAACTTGGACCCAACTTATCGCCTTTTTTAACATTTGGACATGGTCTGGCGATAGTCGCCAGACCATGTCCAAATGTTAAAAAAGGCGATAAGTTGCGTCCAAGTTACTCGGACTTAACCTGATCCCACTTTTTTGTACAGGCTATCATCTCAATATTACTATTAATATTATTGCAAAAATGTTGAAAAGACATGAATCTGGGACTGAGAAACATTTCCAGTTCATGTCTTATTAATCATATTTCCTAACAAAATTGGAAACGTGTCTCAGTCCCAGATTCATGTCTTTTCATTAAAAAAAAATTCAACATAACATGAACATGAACAAAATTGGAAGTCATAAATTCCATATCCGGACATCACACAATCTACCCCTAGGCTAGAACTAGTCCCACTAACCGGGGCACTAGAACTCCTTCTTTGACATTTGGATGTTGATCCGTCGTACTAGCGTTTGTCCATGTTGTCAATGTTTGTCAATGTTGCAAGTTCAAAGTTCACCACAAAAATCACGCAAAATACTTGACAAAAATACCTTTGAAAGCACCTACTGGCATCTCCACATGTCAAGAAGATCTGGATGCACTGCTGAAGTGGGAACGTACATGGCTGATGGAGTTCAATCCAACCAAATGTCAGGTAGTACGTGTTACCAACAAGTGGAAACCAGTCCCAACAGCATATAACATCCGTGTCCACATTCTGGAGGAGGTTGACTCTGCTAAATACTTGGGTGTGCATCTAGACTCAAAACTCAACTTCAACACTCATGTTGATGCAGCAACAAAGAAGGCTAATTCCACCAGAGCTTTTCTCAGATCTACATGCCGAGTTTGTTTTTTTACCCTTCCTTCCGGTTGAAACCGGAAGTGCCTTTTAATTTAAAATTGGTTAAAGATGTGAACTTGCTTTCAACGATACAGAAAATGAACGGTGACGTCATAAAATGTTAGAGCACCCTCTAGCGGCAGGTTGTTAATAGATAATAATAGATGAAAATTTATGTGACATCATCATGATGTCATTACGTGATATGTGACGTCATAATTCAAAGCCCTAATATAATCACATCTTTATATGCCACCATTTATTATAAACAGAACTGCACATCCTTCCTGGATGGAACTTATACTTGAAACTTTACATGTCACATATGTCACAAAAAGTTACCGAAACAGCCCTGCGTTTGTCCACAAACATAAGTCTATGGTAGTTGCACATGTTGTTTTCAAGGGCATACCGGTACATTGGTGTACATTGTATGTAAATGTAGATCCTAGGAGCTGGTGGGGGAGGGGGGGGGTGCTATTTTGATCAGAGGAGGAGGGGTCATACATTGTAGTAGTATCATCTCCCAGATTGTTGTACATGTTGTACATATTGTACATGTACTTAAACCCCCCCCCCCCCCAACAAAAAATGTATACATTGTGCACACGTACCGTACATACCGGTACATTCATCCTGTCACCATGATAATGAACTCACAAAAAGTAAAACTAGTTATTGAAAAAGTAAATAAATTTGAAATATAGCACCTTGACAGTGTACGCAAATAGAAACCCACACTTGCTGTGCATTTAATATAGATAGTGGATATTTTGCCGGAGGTAACGCCGGCAAACTAACGTTTACTAAAGGTTTGCCGGCGGCAATCCATATCAACAGAGGCCGCTGTACTCTTTAAGATAGGGCTGAATTATAACATGTATTAAATTCCCACCAAAGTTGTGTAGCACAATAGGTGCAATGGTTAAGCAATGGCTCTATTGAGTGGGATGTCTCGAGTTCGAATCCTGATACCTGCCCCTTTTTACGTTTTTTTTTCCCATCCCCAAATAAATAAGAATATTCTTCTTTTATTATTTTAATATGTCTCAAACATTTTATTGCAGAGTATTACTTTTTCTTTTTCAGATTTGTGGCTCTGGAGGATTTTTTTTAAAGGGAAATAAAGTCCGAAATTATAAAATGGTCTGATTCCCATCTTGTAAACACAAAGTTACAACGATAATATTGGTATGGAGCCAGACTAAAGTTTGTCACCGGAAAATGTTTAAGTACAAAAAACCAGTAACTGCGCTTGTTCAGTGCATATCCGGCAAACTAACGTTTACTGAAGGTTTGCCGTCTCCGGCAAAATATCCACTGCCTTTAATATACATGTATATATGCGTACATGTACATGTGATGAATACAATACACAATGCCACCATATGAGGTCCAGATCCCCTCCCCGCTTCTCAAATTTCTATTGTCCATGTGCATGTATGGAAAAAAATACAATTACATGAACATGTAAATGTGTACATTGTAGGTGTACACTTTACAAATAGGCCTACAGTGTACATTTACATACATGTACATGTATGTACATGTAAATGTACATGGACGTGGAACATGTGCTCTACACACAAGTATGTACATGTACTCTACATAAACATGTACATTTGAGATGTACATGTACACATACATGTAAGCTACCCGACCGCAGTGATCGTGAACAAGTGCACAGAGTCTCATTCTCAAATTACGTGTAACATTTTAATTATTGGGTCAATTGATCTGCATGTATGTTCTACATGTACATGTACCATGGAGGAGTAAGAATGTACATGTATGGCAACAGATATCAACGTTTAGTAATTAGTTTAACCAGTGATGAGTTTGACATGTACCAGTAATTGTGTCATATTATTTGTCTCTTTCAGGGATGATCCTGCATGTACATATCGGTCTACAGATTTCAAATCGTGTCCTTATGAAAAACGTGACATGTTTCATGTGATGCTGTGTTACGTTTGCTGAAATTCTCGGTAGTAAGACTTTGCGGAGCTTACATAAGCCAACCATTGTTGTGAGACGTGACAACAAACGAGTGGAGCACATTTCGGAGTCCGCCAAGAGTATGCCAAGTCCTTCCAAGATACTGCCAGGAACCAGTGGATGACATGGCACCAGTTATCAGCTTGGATTTCATCTATAGGATGTGCTTGTTTCTGTGGCTGTCGTATTCAGGTTGGGACTTGCTCAATTCTCCCCCCCCCCCTTAATGTTGGGTAGATTACTCAAGTCATTTAATTCTACACGTCACTGTAACAGCAAAAGGAACGTTTTGACTTCCAACATGAGATTTTTTTCCTGTATGATTTAACTTCAACTTGAGCAAATTAATATGATATTCGGCATTAATTTCAGCTGTAGGTTTCTGTTCACATATTACTTATTCTCCTGGCAAGAGTTTTATTTTTAGTAGTTTCCTCAATTTCATTGCTGCGTATTATTCCTAAAACTAGACTTTTTCGTCAGGCCAAGAAAGGAAAAAAGGTTGTTTCCCATAACATGGAAAAAAATAGGGTGGGTGGGTGGGTGGGTTAAATCTTCTCTTTTTTTTTGCTCAGAATGAGGGATGATGGGTGATTAATAAAAAATTGATATATACATTCGTAACAGTTAACATGTGAATCAACTTATCATTCTGCGTCTGCTGCGCTGTTTATAGGCTTTGTTGCACTGCGCAGCAACACTGCACTGCCGACCAGATTACAAAAATTGAAATTAAAATTTTTTAAAATACAGAATGACGTCTGCAAAATGTAGGGTGGGGTTGACACCATCACTTTTTTTTTTTAAAGTTAAATGCATATAACCTGAAAATAAAGGTACTTTTCTTGGCCTTATCTTTAAGGTTAGAAGCAAAAATGGTGTAGGATTAAAGCCCGGTTCATATTCGGGGCGAAAGCGAACGCGAATTTGTGACATCATGGGGAGTATTTGCGCAGGGAATTTGTAAAAGTTGAACATTTTTCAACTCGGCAAATTTTGCAGCAAAAGTTTCATGACGTAAAATTTGCTTCGCTTTCGCATATGCAAGAAGTATGAACCAGGCTTTAGGATTTGAGCTACATCTATTTGTATGTAGTTTACTTTGAACCACAGATATTGATGACACGTACATTGTAAATTTGTTTCTGATTCGTTATCCCTTTGCAGCAGTACTGCTCAGGTGTGTTACAGGAGCAAGTGTCAACCTTCCCCTGTCCACAGTATCCTGCTTAGAGTATGACTCACAAAAGTGTACGGGCAATGACAGTAATTGCAACACAATCAAAGACTGCGATGTGGAATTTGGCTACGCGGATTTGGACCCAGAGGAGGTGGAGACGCATAAATGCTTTATATTGTGGCACAACACCTCCACGGGAGCTGAAGTCATCATGAAGGGGTGCTGGCAGAGTGGGCGAAGCGACGACTGCGTGGAGGATGAGCGCTGCGTGTCCCACGAAGCAAACTCCGATGGCGAGAATCGTTACTTCTGCTGCTGCTCGGGTGACCTCTGCAACCATGAATTCATTCATGATCCAAAGCCCAAACCGCTCTCAACAGAGCACCCATGTGAGTATCCGTGGACTCCATTTACTTTAGGTCGTCATACATGAACCAGAGATGCCAACCATTACTCTTTTGGAGTAGTTATTAGGATTTTGAGGCATGTTACTACTCTTGAAAATTCCAGCTGTCCTATATGCCAACATTGTGGTTACTCTGAAAAGTACTGTGGTTACTCTTAAACTTGACTGTTGTCCTATGTATTTACATTAGCATTACTCTTTGCAGGAAGAATCATTACTATTTTGTAGTCTGTACAGTTGGCATCTCTGCATGAACTTCTGAAACATGTCACTTGAGCAGACCTATAACCACTGAAACTTCACTGTTTAAAACCATGATGAACCAATGTACTATGTGTCACTGCACATTTTTTAGTGAACATGGAGAAGGTACATGTTGTGAAATTTGTCTTTTAAGTTATTAAACCTTTGATGCAGACCTGAAGTGAAGTCCTCCCAAGCCAAACAAAAGACGATTAACCCTGCTATTTAAGCAGTCAAAGACAGTCAAAATTCACTTCCACTTCCCTGCAATACTTTTAACAAAGGCTGGTCACCGGGAGCTGGGTCATAGGTATGTCAAGCAAGTACTTTGTCTAGTCAAACTGGGTCAACAGACAAAGCAGGCAAGCTGTGGTCACAGCTGTTGTATCACTCTCCCAGAGTCAAAGCACAGCTGTATCAAGTTACTTAAGCAGTCCAAGGCAGTCAATCCTGCTTTATGTGGGCTGGGAATTCTTAGGGGTTGAAAACAGTCACTTGATTGATTTTGACTGCAAGGACAACTTGGCACAGAATGTATGTTTGCATAGGAGGGTTGATAGTCATCCAGTCTTAAGTCAAGTGATAAGTTGTTCAAAGGAACTGTGACAAGTGCATTCTTGTGTTATTTTTTTTATTCTGTGTTTTTATTAGTGACCTTACTTGTGGTTTAACTTGTGATGACTCAATTTTTTACAAACTGCTCCAGTGTGCTCACAAAAAGTGCTATGTTAGATGAACAGAGTGCACACTTCAAAGCTGAGGATACATTTAAGATTTTTGTAATACTACAACTTGACATGTTATTCCCACAGTTCAAGATCAAGGCCCTAATGAAGACAAAAAGAAGAACCGCAGTAACGTCATACTGACAACCGTTCTGTACACGCTGGTTCCCATCACTGCATTCACCGTTATCATCATCAGTGTGTACTGGATGTGTCGTCGCTATCGGTACTCGCAGCTCACCTCGGTACCCAACAGCGAGCCCAGCCCGCTCTCCCCGCCATCGCCGGTCTTGGGCCATCGGCCGATTCAGCTGCTGGAGATCAAAGCGCGAGGGCGGTTTGGGGCCGTCTGGAAAGCCCAGATGGGACACCAGCAGGTCGCTGTCAAAGTATTCCCACTGCAGGACCGCCAGTCCTGGATCACGGAGCAGGAGATCTACTCCATCCCTCAGCTCCGACACGAGAACCTGCTGTATTTCATCGGCACAGAGCGGCACGGGGAAGGCATGGACCAGGAACTGTGGCTGATCACTGAGTACCATCCCCGGGGCTCACTGTGTGACTACCTCAAGGGCAACCTACTGTCCTGGAACGATCTGTGTAAGATCTCGTTGTCCATGGCCTACGGCTTGGCCTTCCTTCACGAAGACTTGCCTGCCACCACTCTCTGCATCGCCAAGCCCGCCGTCGCCCACAGAGACTTTAAGAGTAAAAATGTACTCCTGAAAAACGACTTGTCTGCATGCGTTGCAGACTTTGGGCTGGCTTGTAAATTTGAAGCGGGTAAAAGCCCTGGAGATACTCACGGACAGGTAAGATGTGAAACGCAAACCGCAAGTCAATTTAAATCTCTTTGGGCTTTTTGCCTCTAAATCTCTTTGGGCTTCTCGAACTCTACCCTTAAATACTCTCTCCTGTGCAAGAAATCATGGACACATTCTCAGTGCTCTCACTTTGAGTGGCATCAGTTCCGTATAATATTTGACAAGTTTATTTATACATGTATAGCAAACGAGGGCTTATCAGTCACTCCAGTTATCGGTTATTGTTCCCCTGAATATATTTCCTTGCAGGTCGGCACAAGGCGATATATGGCCCCCGAGGTGTTAGAGGGCGCTATTCAATTCCAGAGGGATGCATTCTTGCGTATCGATATGTACGCCTGTGGACTGGTGCTGTGGGAGATAGCATCTCGCTGCACAGCACAGGAAGGTAGGTGATAACCTGGCCCATACATGTATGTGGCCTACGGATAAGTGTCCTGCACTGCGACTAAATCGTAGAAATAAAATATCTCAAAACTGTCGGAAAACAGTTCGCAGAGTAGTTCCTCAAAACTTTTTATTATGAAATTGCTGAAACTTGCTATCCTCTACCTTCTGGCTTATATTAACACCCAGCCTTAATTTTCCAACAAATAGTTCACACCCTAATCTTGAGAAATATAACCCAAGAAATCTCCATGACGCAACTTCCATCTTACAAAAAGCCAAAAAATCAATAAAGAAATCCTGCATTCCTTTACCTAAGCTCCGATAGTCATTTCATGCATTACACAACTGCTAGCATTTTTATATACTCTCATTGCAAGTGTGACCGGCTATGTATAAATGATGCACTTATGTTTACAAACATTGCTACAACTATAAACTACCAAAAGTAAACTTCCCCAAAATATCAGCAGCAGACATTCATCATTGTGGGACTGACTGTAGACTGGGCCTGAAGTGGTGTCAACATGTCCATGTTGGCATGTTATAAGTTAACCCTAACCCACCTCAATCCTCCAAAATCCTTATTGCAGTTTTGGAGAATTTTTGATGATTGAGGATGAATGGTGTTTGAAAAACACGAGGATTTTGGATGAAAGGTGTTTAAGCACATGAGGATTTTTGAGGATTGAGGATGAATGGTGTTTGAAGATGAGGATGATTTTGGAGGATTGAGGATGAAAGGTGTTTAAGCACATGAGGATTTTTGAGGATTGAGGATGAATGGTGTTTGGAGATGAGGATGATTTTGGAGGATTGAGGATGAATCCATTTTGAGGCAGGACTGTCTGATGATTTTGAAGGATTGAGGCGTTGGTTATCCTTCATTTGAACATGAGTGCAAAATTTTGGGATGAGGATTTTGGAAGATTGACGATGAATGCATTTTGAGGCAGGACTGTCAGACGATTTTGAAGTATTTAGGCACTGTTGCAAAATTTTGGAGGATTGCGGATGGTTCCTAGCAAAAAGGGCCTAGGGGTGAGGGTTAAGGAAAAAAAGAGGCAATAGTTAGCTTTTTGTGAAGTATTTGTGTATAATATTGTTCTTCTCAGGCCCAGTTGATGAATACATGCTCCCGTTTGAAGAAGAGGTCGGTCAGGCTCCGACTCTTGAAGACATGCAGGAAGTAGTGGTGGTGAAGAGGCTGCGGCCAGTCTTCAGAGACAGCTGGCTCAAACATTCAGTAAGTCGAGTTGAACTTCAAACTTGCGTAGTATTTCTTAAAGACTTTTTGCACAAGGTCCATATTATTAAGCCGCCTTCAGTGAAATCAAAATTCAGTGCAATGTTTAAAACCCTTTATAAACCTTCAGGTGATGGGATATGAAGTGTAGGTAATTAACTGTGTAATACAGTGCGTGTATGCAAAATGCAGCACTTACACGTACATGCTTACCACATAAAGGGGTTGTGAAATTTTGAAGTGTTATCATGCTCCACAGAAAATTACAAAAGGATTTTGTGTGCTATATTTGCAAAAGTGCGGCAACAAAAATTTGTAATAATTTTTAAGACTAGGAGGGGTAATCAAAAATTGATTATACTTGATTATACCAACTATTCGAATAATTGGATCAGCAACGGAATATTCAAATAGCTTTTTGCCGGTTTGAATATTCGAAGAAAAACAAAAAAAGATACGTATGTACACACACGACTGTGTTGTTATCTTATCGTAAAGTTGCAACACTGTATTATCAGGTGCTTTTGGGCCGAAGGTAACTTTTGACGATGGCGGTTTGTTGTTCCCATCCTTTCAGTAAGTGAAAGCCCTGGACCATTAGAAAATGAAATACTTTAATGCAAAGCACTCGATCGCCGCATGCAAATTGTAACTTGCGCGGTCTGCTTGCAACTTTTGACTGGCGCGGCATGCAGTTGCATCCGAATATTCCGTCAAACGCAGTGTCGAGTAATCGAAATACTAAATTATTCGAGGATGGACATCCGTAAATGTTAACATGTCTTCTCGCCGCAGGGAATGCAGCTCCTCTTCGAGACCATCGAGGAATGCTGGGACCACGATTCGGAGGCCCGTCTCTCGGCCGGATGCGTGGAGGAGCGACTCAGCCAGTTGCTTCGTTGCAACTCCTACACTGCCCCACTGATCTCGCTCACTCCCTCGCCCCCGAAGGAGTCCAGCCTTTGAGGTATTCTGGTATTCACATGCACCGACAGGCAATGCTCGTCATTTTTGTTACCTCAGTTATCGGGAGATAGTGCCGCATGGATATTCTTAATATTTTAATTAGAGGTATGCCCAAAGAATGTCAAGTATTCTAAGAATTGGTGTGTGCAGCCACATCAGTATGTGTCCCTACATCCATGCATTTGTAGGTTGTGTACAGGTTACCATTCAACTGAAGACTTGGAACAACGGGTTACCCGAGATAACAAAAACCTAAGGCGCTGAGCTCAAGCCCTCGGTAGTTTTGGCGTACAAACCACTACAGATATGTAGTTGAGTCCATCGCAAATCCGTCACAAGTGAATCACAAGTCCATTCACAAGTCCATCGGATGAACAATAACAAAGGAATGCCTTTGTCTAAGCTCTTTTAAATAACTTGTGAGTTGAATTGGGACTGGAGGACTTGTGCTGGACTTGACCACATCCCTGAACCAGGATATGTGTTCAAACATCAGCATTTTATTCTAACCCTTTCAGATCCCTCAAAATCCACCACATTCGGGCGATTCACAATGCAGTGCACCACCAAGAGTTTGCCATGGAGAATTCATTTTTCAAGTTTACGGTCGACAAAAAATGGCCCATTTGAATGAGTGTCGGTAAACAACTTGAGCTAATTTGTCATAGATTGGGGCATAGCGTTCTGCCGCCTATCAAAAAAACACTGTATTGATAAAAAGCAAAGAAAAGGGCAAACAGATACTTGAATCATACGCCTACGAAACTACTGACCGGAAAAACGAACAATCTCAAATGTCCCGCGCTGCAAATTTGTCGACCATCTCCCACAATGCACTAGGAAAAGTGATCTCTCCGTGGCAAACTCTTGGTGGCGCACTGCATTGTGAATCGCCTGAATTGTTTATGGAGGATTACATTCAGTTGGCTTATCACAAAATTTCTATTGAGGTTTCCTGACATCCAGAGTATGTTGCTCTTTGATGAAAAAGTGTCCTGCCTAATAAAAAAAATAAGCGCCATCCGACACGATGTCATTGAAATAGAAATTGGTTACCAGACTGGTGTACACACTGATGGAAGTACACGTACTTCAGTAGTGGAGCCGGGGTAATATTCTTGACTCTAACATATTAACATGAGAATTTCACAAAGGAAAACAAAAATGTCCGGTTTACTGTCGCCATGTACGCCATCTCACTTCACTTGGTGGCATGTATTGCAGGGTTGGCATTTTTTAAGCGTTGTATTCATTTTTAACTATAAGTAAACATTTCTTAGGATGGCAGTCTGGGTCTTATTTGCAGGTTTTTGCCAAGAATATCTGGCCATATAAGTATCATTGGATGGGCTAGTCCTTTCCGTAGGATTTCTCTTGCCTGAACATTATCATATGCTTGTGCCATTGCATATGAAAAAAATACGAGTAGCTTCACTTTGTACGAGAACATTAGGTTTTGTTTTACCTTTATACAATGCCTGAAGAAATTCCGTCATTTGATCGGTGGTCGTTAATCCTGTTAATCAGGTGAATGATTCGTCCCAATGCATGGCGTTCCGTTCCAGGATAAAAATAACTTCCATGGCACGATCACACTACTGGCTGTGAGCTGAGATTGCTTTGGTGGTGTACTTTCATAGTACCAGTTTACGAGTAACCAATCAGATGACACGGATTTATTCAGGCGTTGTATAAAACAAAGAATTAATGTTCTCACATTGGTGCAGTGGAATGAAGAATTTCATTTGGTGACAGATGGAATGGTCCATGCCACTTGGCTTCGCACCGTGGAATGGAACATTCCATCTGTCACCTCATCAAATTACTCTTACCATTGCACTCGTAAACATTCATTAGTTGTTTTATGACTGCGACTCCCAAGTGGTAATTGTAATGATAGGGTAGGTCTTATGCTTGCAAAGCAGATGAAAGTATTCATTGTTGTTTCGACATTCATCTGTTGCCATGGATACTACTTGTTAGTATAAACTGAAATGAGAATACATAATACCAACGTTCATTGGAAATAGGTTACAAATTACATGTACATGTACCATATTTGTCTTAGTAAAGGTAGGTGTACTGTAGACTCAAGTTTGCCAATAACATGCAGTACATGTACTGTACATAAAAATCCAGACTACATGTAATGAGAATATATAATACCAACATTCATTGGAAATACGGTAGGTTACAAATTACATGTACATGTACATGTACATTGCCTTAGTAAAGGTAGGTGTAGACTCAAGTTTGCCAGTAACATGCAATACATGTACATAAAAATCCAGACTACATGTAGGCAAGCCTACATGTAGTAAAGCTGGTCCAGTACCAGCCAAAGTCACAAGTGACAGGCAGTCAGTCAGTGAGTCAGGTACATGTGCGTGTACATTTACAGGTACAGGTACATGTGCATGTACATGTGCATGTACATGTGTACGTGTTCATCTTTTCAAATCGTGGACGAAAAATACCAGGGAACAAAAGAGAACAATTCCCAGCATACGTCCGCGATTGGGGTCGTGTACAAAACCCATGGGAGTCTTCCTAAAAGTTAGAGTACAAACAAAAGAGGGACAATAGGACGTCCACAATCGACGGTGAACACACATTTGTGTGTGTGTGTGTACATGTACAGGTACAGGTACAGTTACATGTGCATGTATATGTGTGGGTGTACATGTACACACACATATACATGTGCGCATACATTTACATGTGCGCATACATTTACATGTGCATGAACATGTACAACATTCGTGTACGTGTACATGTGCATGTACCGCACGTGTACATGTACATGTACACATGTATATAAGGAAGATACCAAACAAGCCCTCTGCGACCAGCAAAAACTACCCCAAAAAATTGATATACATGTAAGGTCAAATTCAATCATTGTAATTTTGGGAAGTTCATACACGTGTAGTCTGAGTATCATCCGTTGTCCAACAGAGACGTCTCCGTAATCATCGTCTGATATGTGTGAGCAATGCAAATTTGATGCAACACTGTGCGCCAGCCAGTCGGACATGTCGGAGTCAAACTTTAGAAATTGGGCCATCAATTTGGCTACCATGTTTTTGAATAATACAACGAAGACTGATAGAAGGCGCCCACTGAATGGTCAGAATCTCGAGGTCAAGACGCAGTTTCGTTTTGAGTAATTATTTGCCGAATCTGCTCGCATATCATAGACCCTTGCTTTGCAAGGGGTGTTCCATAGACTACATGTGCAGTGGTGGTTTCAAATAAAACACTGCTTTTTTTTCTTTAAAGTCGATTTTAAAGCCTACTGGAATATTTTAACAATGCACAATCATTTTTTTGGTTTATTTACAACATTATCGCATGTACGGTACATGTATGTACATGTACACAGAAGACCGCAGTTTTGGTACTCCTTGTACTGCATGTGGTTTAGTAGGTCTTGTAGTCTGCACAAATGGTACCATCTCACTGGTGTGTGTGTGTGTGGCTTGTGTGTACCAGATGTAAATATTGTATATAATGTTTTTATTTTAACTTGTCTTTGTCTGTTCGTGTTGTACATGTTCTAAATGTTCTTCAGTCAACTATTAACATGCCATGTTTGACATTTATCATGTTTATCTAAATCATAGATAAACTCTCTTGTTTTTACTTGGTTTTTTATTAGTATAGTGATCTTTTTAAAACAAAATTTCTTTGGCACATACATTACTAGTACATGTACACACACACATAATTATTATACGTATATAGTTTTTAGTAGGCTAATAATTGAAAATGTACATGTGTGTACAGGGATTTGGTTACGTTTTTGTATTTTGCTTTTTCTAATTCTGCTTTGTAATTCCTTTATATGTAGCTAGAGCCTTAACCTTTGTCATGTTTTTCATACATGTATGTGTCCAGTTACATGTAAATAATGTTTACATTATTAACTAACGCTGCTAAATGCAACAGAAGGCAACATTGATAAATAGTTGTTGCATACTGTAGCATTTAGCAGGCAACTCAAGTGCCCGTGCTCTGTTGCATTTTGTTGCATTTTGGTAGTGCAACTGCTGATATTCCCAAGGCGATACAACAGAATCCACTGTTACATTTGGTTGCATCTAGCAGGGTAACTGCTTGGTGCCAAGGCTGGTGTGCACTTGGTTCACTGCACAATGCAACAGGATCCACTGTTGGCAATTTGTTGCAGTTAGTAGGGTAACTGCTTGGTGCCAAGGCTGGTGTGCACTTGGTTCACTGCACAATGCAACATAATCCACTGTTGCAATTTGTTGCAGTTAGCAGGGTAACTGCTTGGTGCCAAGGCTGGTGTGCACTTGGTTCACTGCACAATGCAACAGGATCCACTGTTGGCAATTTGTTGCAGTTAGTAGGGTAACTGCTTGGTGCCAAGGCTGGTGTGCACTTGGTTCACTGCACAATGCAACAGGATCCACTGTTGGCAATTTGTTGCAGTTAGTAGGGTAACTGCTTGGTGCCAAGGCTGGTGTGCACTTGGGTCACTGCACAATGCAACAGAATCCACTGTTGCAATTTGTTGCAGTTAGTAGCGTAACTGCTTGGTGCCAAGGATTGTGTGCACTTGGTTCACTGCACAATGCAACAGAATCCACTGTTGCAATTTGTTGCAGTTAGCAGGGTCCTTATTTCAGCCAAGTTGCATTTTGTTGCATTTGGTAGGGTGCCTAGTGAAACCCTGTTGTGGGTTACGGTTTTAATAGAGTTTTTGAGTTTTTTTGTCATTTCAAATTTCGGACAGAATTGGTCAGGCGTAATTTTAGTTTATCTTCTTTTTTTCTTAGTGCCATATGTATCAATTGGAGCATTTTGTCATTGGTCAGTCATCCCCCCCCCCCCTCCCGACTATTTGTATAGTACATGTGTGTAATGTTCCGGTTCATCAAATATGTATATTTATAAGATGTTTGAAAATGTCCAATATCCAAATGGAATACAAAAACAATTGTAGAATGTATCAATATTTTAATAATTAAATTATGGAAATAACCCTGCTCTGTAAATTATAGGTAACATTGGCATTACACACCAATATTGTGGCAATGTTTCTTCTATGTTCTATTTAAAAAAAAATAA